TGGTAGGTGTCTCAAAGGAAGATTTCTCTGCCTGTTACCATGGGAGGAATGAGAAAATCTGACATCAAGTTGGCAGGATAGGCCTCATTTTCTGTAGCAAGTATTGTGTGTAGCCCTTCAAGCCCAGCTTGAAGGTAAAAACTGCTAAAAATGAAAAGTGGGAAAAAGCTGGCTGTGAAGGTAGAGACTACTGAAATGGAAGATGGGAAAGAGGCTGAATAAGGTTTAGTCAGGACTTTTATGACTTCTGGGACTTCTGGTTGGGCCCTACTAATTACTTCCATTGCTGCTACTGTTGCTGAATCAAGCAAAGTAAGGAAGCCCCCACATGCCGCAATAGCTAATAAGTGAGATAGTTTCTATGAAGATCAGTGAATTTCTGTTTTACTGAAGAGATGCAATAAAGAATGTGGAAGAGACAATATTTTTAGGTTCATACCTTCTCAATTTGTATCAAGTTTTCATTTGGATTACTTTTTGTACCTTCAAATGGTGTAATGGCTACACTATAAAAATTTAATTTTGCAATAACCAAATCATTTTTGTGCAAAATATAAAAATTTAATTTTTTATACAAAAGACATTTTTGTACAAAAATGTAAAAATTAAAAATTTACTTTGTAGGGATCGAATGGTAAAAGAGACCATGCCACCCATCTCAAAAAATGTCACCCATTTTTAAAAATGTCATCTATTTAAAAAAATTTCATCCCTTTCTAAAAATGTCAGCTGTTTCTGAAAATGTCACCTGTCTCTAAAAATGTCACCCCTCTCTGAAAATATCACCCGTCTCTAATAATGAATGTTGAACAAAGTGCTAAAAAATAAGATTCAACCATTACATGAAACTTAAAAGTAGTACATAAAAAACAAATACAATATTTACAAACAAGAGCTTGCAAAAAAATTTCCTTTTGTGCACCTTATACAAAAACTAAGGCTGAATAACAAATCAAACAATATACATGACAAAGAAAGACCACAATTTTTGAAAATTAAAAAAAATTGAGGAAGCAAAACCAAAAATTAGATGAGGCAGAAAATACAAAAGGTGCACCCACTTAATCTGTAAAATGGAATAGGAATGTCTCAGCATGAAGGGAACTTTGATAGATTTGAAATGGTTGATATCATGGGGGCTTTTTATGTTTTTCTTTTACAGAAAAGTGCATTTAAACATAGTAGGTTCATTACTGTCAGTAAGACCCCTATTTTTTGCCATATCGGTATATTTTAACTGTGATTGATACAATTACTAGATGGGTGGAGGTGGTTCCTCTAACTAAAATAACTGTACAAAATTTCGCTACTGCTTCATTAACACATGGGTAGCTAGATTCGGAATACCTTTATATAGTATCACTGATATAGGTAGCCAGTTTGAATCAGAATTGTTTTCAGAGCTGTCAAAGATCATAGACTTTCACAGACTGAGAACAACTTCGTACCATCCTCAAGTGAATGGATTAATTGAACATGCACACAGGACGTTGAGAAATTATTGCATGAAAGGAATCATGGCTATCAGCCCTTCCTATTGTACTTTTAGGTATAAGAATCATACCCAATGAATCAACTTACTTGCCATATACAGCAGTGTTGTGGACCCTTTAGAGGTGGGGCATGATATAACATAGCCTGTGTACCCCAATAAGTGTCACAAGAGGCCCACTGATATTTTAGAAATAACCTTTATCCCAGGAGTTGTTTGGGTCTGGACAATATGTATGCAACAATTTCCTAACCCAGGTGTGTTAGGTTGACAGGAAAGCTGGAAGCAGGGACCTAGTATAGTGATGCTATAAGAAGTAGGGACCTGTGAGTAGCCAGAAGTTCAGGGTTGTTGTGAGCAGGTCTGTGTCCATAAATGACAATCAACCAAATGAGTTAGGTCAAGATAAGGGCTGGAAGTAATGAAAGCCAGGAATGCCAGAAGTAAGATGCCGGAAGATAAGAGTCTGTGGTAGCTGGACATAGAAAAGGCTATGAATGCTGGGAGTAAGTGTCTGTTGTAGCCAGAAGTGGTAAAACCTAGAATGCCGGAAATAGTAAAGGGTAAGAGTGCTGGAAGTCAGAAAGGATAGAAAAGCCCAATTAGCATCATAAAAATTGGCAGACAATAAACGGGAATGTAATTTAATACATAACCTGTGCCAGTGGCCAATGTTTCTCCACCTTCTGCCTTGATTTGGCAAGAAGTTGCCACCTTATATGATAAGGGAGTGTAAACATTAACTGGTACTGCAAAGTACTAAAACTCTCAAGAAAAATAAACTAAGATGTACTATGAAATATAAGAGTATAAAAATGTTTACAAAGTGTATTCTGACTAGGTTTATAACACTAAAAGAACTACAAAGTCATAAGGCTTATTATGAAACAAAATGAGCTTATATTGAAGGAATTGTGGATAAGCAATGAAGGAAAAGTCAAGGTCATGAAGAATTAGCATCAGCCCTTGGTCATGTGGATGGAGTAGTGAAGAGCTACGATAACAGTAACAGTGTGTCATGCACATGTTCCAAGACTATTAATTGACCCATGTGACAAGGATAATGATGAGGTATCAAACCTGGCAATAAAAGACCTGGTGAAGGAAATGCAAAAGTTTGACATGGAGAATCATTTCTTCGGACACTTACATTTGTCATCAAAACCTTATATGTCAAAGGACTTAAATGACTGTAACTTTATATGGCTTATGACTGACAGAGTTCGGAAATCTCTGGAAGCAGCATACACAAGTCAATAAAAGTAATTAGCCATAATAATAAGTACTTTACTATTACAACAACAGAGGATGTAAATAGTAATGTTTCCATAGACAGATAAAAACCAGCAGTTGTCTCAGAAAGAGCGAAAATGCCTGATATTGGTAAAGTTGTAGTGACTACTACTACGTTTGCCACGCCTACATTTTTCTCAACTGTGATTGGTTAAATAATAAATACTGATTATCACATGACAATTTACTGATCGCAGTCACCACACTGAATTTTTCCTACTGTTAATTTCACAAACATGCTTTTGTTATAAAATCACAAATTGGTTAATTTTTCATCCAATCATATATTTTCTGTTTCCTTTCAAAATTCTTCTGCCTTTGTTGGTAGTAATAAAAAGCAAGGTTTCATTCCAAAAATAGACAGCAGAACTCAGCAACTCACACGCGTCTACACAGACTACTCATTCTACTCACTGCGCACACACAGACACAGAACGAATTACATTTTGCCATCAGTTCTCTGTGAACAAGCCAAGTTGCAAACAGCACTGTTAGTTATACAAATAACACAACTGAATTAACTGTATGTTCATCTGAATACAACATTCTATTTCAACATAGAACTTTGAACATTCTATTCAAGAAATTTCCTTAATTACATTTTATTTTATTCAAGCTAACAGATAAAGGGAAACTACTTTTTTTCCTTAATATTCACACATTACAAAAATTGTTTTGTATTTGTTGATTTTAATATATATTTTATCATTGAAACAAAAATCGGTTTTTCATTGTTTTTCTTTAATTCAATAATGTATAAATGTTAAATGCTCTTCAACACGCAGCCACATTAATCTTTTCAACACAACCAGCATTTACAAAGTAATACCAGCACAAATAGATACCTCACTAGTGATCGACAAGACTATGGAGACAAAACAGCAAAGCAAAACAAAAACTAAGTCTGGAAGGTTGGTTACTTGGAAAAGTGACAATATATACCACTACTATTGAATTATCAACTTATTCATTTACTAAAACAGACTCCGTCAAATCTGAGAAGGGAAGCAATGTGGTGGATATGAAATAAAAATAACTGTCTTTTCTGCACTGTTTTCAAATTTGCGAGCCTATGTGAAAATTTATTTTGACCAATAGAATTAGGTAGTCTCTAGGCTGAAGAAGAGACCAAGGCAAAGTTTAATGAGCCTATGTGAAAATTTATTTTGACCAATGAAAAAGGGAGTGGCTTACAAACTAAGAAAAAAGTAACAAGCCAATGTGAAATTACATTTTGATATAAATAGGCAGAGAAAGTTGAATCAATGCAGGGAGAGAAAAAAAAAAACCTAAAAAAGCAGGAGACAGAAAGTCAGAGTTCCACACATCTGAATAACGCCGGTGTCAAATTACACGCTGATACATTATCAGCCTCTCATGAAAGTAGATCAATTTCAAAGAACTCTATTCAACTCCAAAGTTAAGTACCTTAAAAGATATCTTTTCATTCATGTTGAATACAATCCTATAGCTTTTATGTGAAAAACGAACTCTCGCAATGTTAAAACGTTTTGTTTGAGTATTACTTTGTGTCCGATGATTTAATTTTAATATGAACATTTTCTCTTCTTGAAAATTCATCAAAACTAAGAACTTTAAATATTTGATTCCTTTTCGTGAAACAAGCTACTGATAACTTCACATGTGTAAATTTGTAAATAAATTTGTTATATTGTTTCGTTAAAAATATAACACTTGTGTTTCCTCGTCATTATCCTTCAATACTTCAATTTCAGACAACTGCAACAATTTCCTTACAAACCGAATGGCTTTAAAAAAAAAATACACTTTTCTTAAATGAAAGGGGTAAAAAAAATAAACCCAGACGGTTTAATTTACATTATTAAAATATAATTTTTTTATAAGACCAAGTATTGTGCAATTACTGAATATCCCACACTTGTGGCATGGTGTCGGACGAAACTAGAATGAACAAATTAAATAAGAACTAACTGAGACAACAAAATATTGAAATGTTAACATTCCTACCTATAATAATTATCCCTCTAGACAATTTGTTGGGCTACTTTTTTCTTCAACACCGTCTCTTGCAACGCACTATGGGTAGAAAAACACCGTCGCGGTGCTTCCGGTTTGTTGTGATGTAATCATGACTCTGAAAGGCTAAGATTGCAGAACGACTTTCAAAACAACAAAAACAAAAATAAGAATTAGTAAATATTTTAATTTCGGATTTTAATTATAATTTGTCAATATGGATGAACTACAGAAGTTAGAACATCTGTCGTTGGTATCGAAAGTTTGTACGGAATTAGACAATCATTTAGGTTTGAATGACAAGGATGTAGGTAAGTAAAACAAAAAAGATAAAAGAAGTTTGATTTCAAAGAAAAGAATTTAATTTTTTCAGGCTTTCATTAATTTTGTTTTAATGAGTTATAAATATTAATAAAAAATCGTGGCAAAAATTGATAACGAGGAATTAAACTTTCAATACTGATCGAGATACTAAAAAAATTTAAACCCACGACTCGATCAGTAGAATCAGCAAGAAAAAGTGTATTTTTAAAAATAAAAACATAAGATTTCATCTGAGTTTTTTTGACTCAAATAAAGAAATATTCGCTTCAGCATTTCTTAATTTGACCCCCGCCAAAAAAAAAAAAAAATTCCTTTAGTTTTTTTTCTTTTTAATTATTTTGTTCCTGATCGAGAAACAGTCATACTAAAAAGAAAGAGGTGTTGAACAAAGTTCTACGATCATTAGTGATTGTTGTTTCGCTTAATAATAGGCTAAAAAGAATGATCTGGGGTACTATCACAAAGTTATAAATTCATGAAAATAATTACCTTGATTTACAATAAATAAATTTAGTTCATATTCAAACAATAGAAAATAAAGCATTTTTTCAGAGAAAAAACAACCAACAAGCATCCGCACGAATAGCAATATATCAATCCAATCAATTTCGAAAAAATCAAAAAATATATTTGAAAATAAAAAACAAACTCGCGAATTATGGCTCCGATTCTAGATGTTACCTCAAAAAAATACACACATTTTGCTTTTGTACCCAATCGAAGAAAACATTAATTTAAACAAAATTATTTTCATGAATTTGTGATTGTACCCCCAAATCTTTTTAAAACCGATTATACGCGGACCAACCATGACTTTTTCAATACGTCTTTCGATGACTGCTTCTCAATCTAGGAAAAAATTCTACAAAGTAATTCAAATTCTTCAGATTTTCTTTAATTTCCTCCAAAGAGCTATTGTCGATGAAGCACTCGGCCGTGTATATGTTTTCTTTTTGCAATCAATCTCTACTAGTTTTTGTGTCTGTCTGAACCTATAATTTTATAACCAGATTTTTTTTCCAGTGCAATAGCAGAATACATCCTTACAAAATCTGAATCGGTCAATTATTGTTTGCTTCGAGTAACTGTGTAGTCAGTCACTTAAAAAAAAATCAACCACTCAGGATATATTTTAGCATTTATTTTAGTCCATAAGTGTAAACAAAATTACCTTCCTTTTTGCGCATGAGAATTATGGCCCTGATTCTGACTTGAACCCATTTTGAATATCAAAATGACAAAATATATTCTTTTGTTGTAGAGAGTAGTTTTTCATAAAAATTGAAAAAAAATGTCATTGAGAGAAATAAAATGCAAATCGGGGTTTTTTCTTATTGTTTTTTTTTTTAAAACAATTTTTACTATTTCTGAATTCGAGTAAATTTTTATTCTTTTATTTTATTGTGTTTGTTTTATTTTTTTAACCTGTTCACAAAATCGTTTTTTCTCTAAAGTGTTAAAAGTAAAACTCACTTGTCTTTCATAATTCTCTGAAACCAACAAACGGCTGTTATTGAGTGAAGATCGAATTCATGAATAAATGATGTTTGCCTGCAAAACTAATGGTCACCATTTTTGCATTTTACAAGTAATACATTTAGGTTTTGATCAATTAAAAAACAAATGACCAAAAAAAAAAAAAAAAAACAAACAAACTTGTACTTATTGATTGCATGCCTACGTCTTATCAACCTCTTGCAGGTGTTTCAAGGCCAGCAAATACATTTTGGGTTGCAAGAGTTTTTTTTTTAAAATAATGATACAAGTTCTATTAAATTTAACTTCTAGTTGGCGGGAGAAGAGGTGAATTCATACCTTTCCCAATGGTATTTGTAGTGTAAGTGAATATTACAAACCAAACGAGAATTTGAACTCTGCCCTCCGATTTCTAATTCCAAGCCATCATCCATTACACCACCTGCATGTTCAAGATTACAACACCTGGTATTCCCAAGTGGTCAACCATTTAGATACTGACCAGGCTCGATGTTACTTAGCTTCTCTGATCATATGAGAACCAGTATTGCAATGGGATATGACCTTGTACTCAAATTGAAGAAATAATTTGTCTTCAATATAATTATTATTATTATAAGTGAACATTATATTTAGTGGGTATATGTGTTTGAGTAGACGTCACTATTTGTTACACAATGTCTACAGGTTTATTTTTTTAATAACAATCATGCCACTGGACAGAAATTCAACACATATTCCCTTATTAATTTGGGACAATGCTGTGAAGCTAACCATGCTTTTACCATTAAGATACAAGGAGCAATTACAGCAAACCAGTTTTTAAGGGAATATAGGTTCAATTTCTGCCAAGAGGCATGTTTTCTTTATTAAGATCTCCCATCTCTAGACCAACAGACATTAATTTCACTGTTTAATAGATAGATATCTACTCAAACATATGTACCCACTAAATAAAACATTTGTACTAATAAGAAATAATGTTGGATTAAAAATCCATTAACTGATAATATATCCATCCACATTCAATTACACAAAGTTAAAATTTTTTGTCTTACCTAAGACTTTTATAAATTACAACTATTTTAAAATTGCTTGATTTCCACAGTCACCAAATGTACAGTAAACAGTTTGTGTTGTTGAGATTTTGGTTTGCTAAATTTGATTCCACTGCCTTTCATTCATAAATGGTTTCACTTCTGCTAGTCATTTTCACTTCTCATTTTGATAAAATCATTGCTGGTTGCAATTCTAATGAGGAATGACTATTTATTGCATAAAATTACATAATTTTGGTACAACACTGAAGGGGAAGTGGAGCAAGGCTGGTCAACAGTAATTATCCTAGACCTAACTAATCTGATTCACGACTCATTCATTGATTACAATTTACTCATTCACCTCAAGAACTTATCCATCACTGTTCAATCCTAGATGTATCACAGTACCACATATTCAAATGGAACCTACAAAAATTCCCATCATGTAAAAATCTCTTTATATACAACTGTTCAATGTTTCTTCTTTTTTTTCTCACAAAAATATATTAAAAATCAAATGATTATGAAATGAATGGGGAGGGGATGAACCCCAAAATAAGATGAAACATTCAAACTAAAAATAACAGATGTTAGTGGGACCTGTCCACCCTTCAAAAATAATAAAAGTGGATGTTGTATTCTGCCTATAGCCAGAATCAAGAAGCACACTCACTAGTGGAGTGAAAAGGAAAAATAAATGATGGAGTTGGAAAATCAAAGACTGGCCCAGTTGAGATACAAAAACAATGGACAAAAACAAACTGGGGAGGTTGGGAATCTTGACATGAATACTAACAAAAGAGAATGCTGGGAACAATATTTACTCACATTAACTAGGTAAATAAATGTTGTCTATCTTAACCAGGGGAAGATTTCATATGAAACCGACCTGTTGCGTCAAAGGGGGCTTAAAAATGATTATCCATCTTATGCTGAAATCTGTTGATAACAAATGCTTTCTTCATATTGAGCTGTTGTGCGATAAATGGAAGTTGCTTCTCTTTTTAGCAAAACAATTTGTTTATAATTCAAGGCTTTAAATAGAGGATTGTACATTGAAAAAGGAATATGATAATTTCTTTCCATTTTAATAAAATTATAAAATTTAAATATTTATAGAAAATCAATTATTTGTAAATTGATAAGATCAGTTCATTTTATTAAATTTCCCATATTGAAACAAAAGGGAAAAAAAATAATCTAAATGAAATTGCCTAGATTATATAGTTAAAACACCCTCAAAATAATTTAATTTTATATTCTCAGTGTCTCTCTTTCATTCGTGTGTACCTGTAATTGCATCAACATAAATTTAGTCAGATGAAATGTTTCACATGTAAACTTTTACCACTTCTCATTGTTCTCAATATATAAAACATATATATATATATATATATCATCTCATATCAGGAAATTACATTGTTTTTAAAACTTATGTTCTGTTGTTGTTTTTCAGCTGAATTTGTCATTTCCTTGGCTGATAAAAATGAAACTTTTGAGAAATTCAAGGCAGCACTGATTGAAAATGGGGCAGAATTTTCTGTAAGTAAATTGCAATAAATCTTTTCTGGACATAGTTTTTTATTTTTATGTCATTAATTTTTCTAAGATTACACACAAAGAGTTTTTCAAGTAATTGTAAATTAAGGGAATTTTTAATTTTTTAGAAATGTACAAATCTTTGTAATAAAGGAATCATTCTCTACAGATGGCTTGCCAACTCATGATTCTGTGACTCTGCTAATGGGAGCTTATGACTGGAACTCACTAATTTCCAGCCAAGTAGCACTTGACCCTGAAAGTTTTCATTTATTCATTCCACGTCCCTTTGGCTAGCAGATAGCCACTTTGAAGCTGTAATTTCTATAGTTTATTGTTTATGCAGTCATAAAACCCAGCTGAGATAAAATTATTCACAGTTCACTTATGGGTATTCTAAATCCTGGCCACGTTCCACTGTGTTGCACTTTCATTTTTGCTGTATATTTTCCCAAATTATTTGCAATAATATCCTTGTTACTTTATTCAAATTCTATGTTGATGTTTTGTTTGACATTCTTTCTGATATTCTTGCCCTTATGTTTTTTCATTTTTTGGTTCTTCATTTTGCATTTATCAAAAATGTTTATATGAATCTTTTTTTTTTTTTTTTTTATTTCATCCAGGATTCCCTAATTGCCAACTTGCTTCGTCTGATTCAGAAAATGAAGCCAAAATCTAAACCAAACAATGGATCATCAAAGCAGGAAAGCAAAGAAAACTTTATTGAGAAAGATTCAGAACTTAAAAAGAAAATATTTCCTGGTCTTGCCTTACCTGATGATCCTAAAGTTCGGGTATGTATTACTTTTTAGAAATTCAAACTCAGATATACAAAATGAAATAGGAGTTACTGAACTCTTGTATTTTCTGGTATTGAAATTGTAAACCTAATCTTAACATTTTAAAAGAAAATAAACAAACATAAAATTAATCTTCATAAAACTTAAAAAAAAAAAAAAATATAGTAATCTTTAGTCTTTTTGGAGGGGAAAGATATATGACAAAGTAGAAAAAGTTTTTGTGTGACATATTTTGTCCTTCATTCGACTGATGAAGTCTTAAAGGAAGAAATGTGTCACTTGAAAACCTTTTCTACTTTTTTATGCTTTTTTTTTATGATATATAAAAATATTTAAATATCATCTCAATCTTTCGTCTGTAGGATGTAAGGTAAAATTTCAAGACATTTCTTTGTTTTTTTGTGGGTGGGGACTGGGATAGTGTGTTTGATGCAGGAAAATACATTAATTATTGGTAAGATTTAAAATCTATATAATAATTGTGCTTGTTCCTCTATTTGTTTGCACAACCATTATGCCCTGCCAATACCTTATAAATAGCAGACTATTCTGTGATGATCACATGGAAAGAGGCGAAAAGACACTATTTGGTTTCAGTGAGAAAATAAATAAGGGAAAGAAAGAAGGGAAGGTAGAAGTTTCAGTGAAATTTCAAATCTTTTCATTTGTATCCACTTATTAAAATAACATTATTATTGCAATATTTTGTTAAAGTTGTTAAGCTCAAATATTTAACAATGTGTTAAAGGAATTTCCATGGATATTTTATTGTTGTAGAACTTGAAGTGAAGAATTAAGATTCATCAGAAAATTAAAATAGGAAAACTGGGAAGATTTTATGTGTCCTTCTAGTCATATAGTATTTATGCTTGTTCCTTCATTCATTAGTTCGCACAACTCTTATGTCCTGCCAATACCTCATAAATAATGGACTATTCCATTTTGATTGTGTGAGAAGACATATCAAAGATGGTTTCAGTGAAAAAATGAAAGAGGGAAGGTCAAATAGAAGTGTTTAATGGCTCTTTCAGTGAAATGGAAAAAGTTGTCAATTTCAAATCTTTTCATTTGTACCCACTTCTTAAAATAATAATCATCATTCATATTTATGATTGTTAATGTAATATTTTTTTTAAGTTGTTAAGCTCAAATATTTAACAATGCGATATGGGAATTTCTACGGATATTTGTTGCCAAAGAACTTACCATGAGCTTATTCGATCTTGATACTTGGTATTGGACATCAGGGTTGTGATCTGTTATTGAGTCAAGCCAACCCAGGGAATGTCTTGCGATACAAAAAAAAAACTTGTCTAAAAATAAAATTTACTAAAAAGAAATAAAGACTTTTTTTTTTTTTTAAATTTTCTTTTCTGGATTCAAAGTTTCTTTGTATATCTGTTGATCCAGATCCTCAAAGAATTTCAATATATCATTTTATTTGTACATGGATTGAATTAATAAACAAAATTTTATGTGCCACAGTGATGTAATAATTAACCATGCAGACAGAACTGAGGAATAAAGATTAAATTTTATATATGGCTATTTATGTTTACTTTATATCCTTGGGAAAGGCATGAATCCACCTGGCCAGTAATCTTGATAAAATATTTTCCGATATTGCACAATATTAGACTGAAAAGGGAGAAATTTACATAAATTACTCTACTGTAACATACCTGTCAGAAAGCTGTCAACATTGACAGAGGCCATTCAATAGATAAGAGTAAGTGCAGACATTTCTGAAATGCAAATGACGTCCTTTATAATTCCCATGAATTAAATCCTATCTTCATTTGATAGTTCAAATAAGTGATTATATTCAGTGATTGGCAAACATAGACAAATGTGCTCGCAATAAGATACAGTGATAAAAGGATTTTTTTTTTCCTAGGACACCAATAAAAATCAAATAAAATCTAAACACATGTTGAAAATGAATTTATGCATTTTTTTTGTTCTTGAGAATTTACAACAAAAATATTAAAAAAGCTATTTATTAATTAGATTGTTTACACTATTTATTATATTTCTTATTGGGATGGTTGGCAAAACATTGGCTAATTGCCAATTTATTCAAACTTTATAAAAATGATAAATAATAAGGATTTCCTTATAGTTGGTTCACATATTTTAATAATTTAGTAAATGTTTATAAATTTATGAATAAAAAATTGTTTTCATATTTATGTCTTTATAAATTGGTAAATGATAAATATTGCATTACATTAGTTCTAATTAGTTTTTAGAATGTTGTAAATATAAAATTATTCTTGAAATAAACAATCTAATAGTGTTTAATATTTTTGTTGTAAATTCTCAAGAGCAAAAAAAAATGTATGAATTCATTTTCATCAGATGTTTAGGCTTTATCACGATTATAATCATTGCTTTTTAAAACAATAAACATGGCTGAAGAGCAAGGGTAGTTAAAAAAAAATTGATGTCATAGGAAAAAAATCCATCCTTTTGATACTATATTTTATTGCGGGCACACTTATCCATGTTTGCTCAAATTTGTTTAAAATATCATGTTACTTTTTTAATGCCCTTTCCTTCTATAAATTTGATCTCTTGATCAGAGTATCTAATTATTTTTTATACATTATCATTTTTGTTTCATTTTTTGTTCAGATGTCATGAGTTCAAGCGCCATACGAGGCTGGCATCCCACTCTCACCCCTTCACTGTCAAAACTCCTAAATGTAGCCATCTCTTCTACTCCAATAGCTTCATGTCTCACACCTCTCGCCTGTGGAACTCCCTTCCCTATTCCTGTTTCCCTGTGAGCTATAATCTCCAGCTATTCTAGTGTAATGTCAATTGACATCTCCAGTAGCCTTGATTTATCCACTACCCTCATCCTTTCTTCTATCACTCCTATCTGATCTTGCTCTAAATTTTCTGTAACTCCTTGCGTCCTAGTGGCTTCCCGCCTTGCTTGGGGTGAAATGCTTAAAAAAAAAAAAAAAAATTTGAGGGTGATTGTATTCCTACATTCAACTTGTGTGATAAGTTATGACAAAGTGGTAATTCTAAAATTATCAAATATATTGTAGTAAATTTTTATATAAAAAACGTTCTCTTATCTAAAATGTTTAATAAAAAGAGAAAAGAAAAACAAAGTTATTTTGAGGTCCAGATTGTAAGAACTCTATTAATGCATTGTGAACTTACAAGGACTTTTCTTTTCCAGTTGATGTTAGATGCAGACTATGAAAAGAAAGAAGACACAAAAGTTGCCAATGAAATGATGGGAGAATTGGAAGCACTATTTGGAAAACCAGAAGAAGTAAAACCTAAAAAGTCTTCAAGGTATCAACACTTTTTAAGCTCTCTCTTTTTATTTATTTATTTTTTTTTTTAATTATGCAAAATTTTATCCATTATGATATAAATTTAAGTGAGTAATGTTTGATTAAGAAAAACCAGCTAGTTTTAAATATTTTGAGAAAATATTATTATTTATTACCATTATTTACATTCAGGCTAATGTCCTCAACATTTTTTTATTTGTTTTTTACAATGATATTAATACTGTACAAGGCCCGGGAGCCACTTGATCTAGAGTGTAAGAGGCACAGTTTATGCAGATATGAAGGGAAGATAATGGTTAACTCTAGACTTGAACAAGTTAAGATTGTAGTGATCGGTGAAGCACCAGCTTGGGAGTTGGTTCCACAGAGCAGTAGATCATGGGAAGAAGCTGCTTGAGGGGAACTTGCATCTCACCCAGGGCGGGATACGAAGGGAATGAGGGTAATTCACTACAATGTGTGTGTCATAGTGGGTCCTAGATGTGAAGGTTAGAACTGGTGAAACTAAGGAATATAGTTTGTCTGAATGCTTTCCATAGAAATAGCAATAAAGCAGTGAGAGACTTGCAATGTTTCGTCTGTAAGGTTGGATGGTGAAAAATAATTTGTTGCCTACAAAGATGCAGTAACGCTTTTGGGGTGTATTATGACTGGAAAGTGAAGACTGGGCATCTCCTGCCCATATATGACAGCAGTATTCCATTCTCGGCCTGATCTGGCTCTTGTAAAGGCGGAGGACAGCAGGAAAAGTTGGGTACTTAATGGAGCAGTATAGGAAACTGACCATATTTCCAGAATCTTTAGCGACGAATTGTATGTGTAAGTTCCGTTTGAGGTCAGGGTTGGGCTTAAGTCCCAATAGATGATCAAGGCATGGTTTCTCTATTAGAGAGAGTTCTGAGTCCATCTTTTCCGATGTTTGTCAATTCTGGTAAACATTAGGGAATTTTCAACTGAGCCCTTTATTTAATCTATGAGGGAAAATAGCCTAGTGTTGATTTGTGAATTTGGTGGTATAGTAATTGTGAGTTCAATCCTAGGGCAGGGTAGTAAAGATTTAGACTCGGTGGAAACAGTGAGTGCAATAACTAAGTCATGCTAAATAAAACAATACAAGATATATCCTTTATGGTTCGCAGAATGAGAATAATCTACCAGCATAGATTAAATAAGTTCAGTTCAAAATTTCCTGAAGGTTACCCAGATTGACAAAAAACCTGAAGAAGGCCAAAGAGCACAGCAGCCAAAATAACAACAACAAAGATGAGGACAATAGGCTAAGTCTTGCGAGTGAAATTGGGTGGACGGAACTATTTAGAAACTGTCAGTAGTTGTGCTAGCATGAAGTCGCAAGTCTTCATGACTGAGGGTTTGAGCATACTTTGTTTATACTGTTGATCACATCAGACAATTTACTCTTTTCCAGAAGTTGTAACAAAGGTCTTCTCAGCATATTTACAGTATAAACCACGGGTGGGCTCTGTAGGTTTTGAATAAATATGTATTTGCTTGAGCCGGCGTCTGCAACAGGGATTGGCTAGTAGACAGGCATACTTGAATACGAGCAGCCACCACAACTTACTGTTAATAAGAAAAAAAGTGGAAGTGACAAAATGACAAATAGAGATAAGACGTGGTTAAGATAAGTAAAAGAGTTATTATTTCCCTGTGACTTGTAAGTCATTTAAGGTTTGACTGTTTGCTTGTTCTGGGGTATCGTATATTAGTCATGGGAGACTGAGAGTTTGTTTAGGTTGTAAGACAAGGTAGAGATATACACATGGAGAAAATCAACATGCACATGTAGTCGAGTGAGATAGACTTGTAACTGAAATATTCCATATATTAGTAGTTGAAAGTTAGTCTCTGTTGCTGCTAGTTTTGTCGCTGACAGGAGACATCACTGTTGGTGGAAGTGCTTTGGTGTCTCTGCTGATGGCTTGGGTACTTGTATAGTCTCCTGTGTTGTGGGGTCCATTGCTAATGCTCAGAAATGGCTGTTGCAGAAACCCCATCAACTTTTTCTGATTGGTCATAAAAGATGGTTTATGATGGTATTCCAGAAATGGGTGTGTGTAGCCTGATGAAATTAAAAATATGTTTTTTCTTATATGAGCTGGGAATGTCAAAGTGAGCACTTCCGCTTGAGTTAAAGAATTAGAGTTCTGAGATGGTATTAGGATGGTGATTGATATGGAAAGAATGAGAAATCAAAGAACAGAGTTCAAATTCCAGTAGAGGTCATTGCATTCACTTTTGCACAAGTCTATGAGATAGACAACTATAAATTCAAAACCAGCTGGGCATGCAACTAGCAACTCCATCCTGAAAAAAATTTATTTAATATGGAAACCACAATAGCAATGTCTAGTGTGTTGAGAGCTGTGGACTCCATACTCCATAGCGACTTGACTATGAGCTAGATTAAATGTCATTAATTTCGAATCATTGGCTATAAAATCTTTTTTGAAAAGAAAAAATATTCACAACCATAAAATATCTCCGCAACTAATGAAAATTTTGTGAGATTAAGATATTTAATTTTGAATTCTTTCAGTTTATTTTAGGATCTTGGGAATTTTATTCTTAACAAATTTTATCTATTTTTCAGGAACAGTTACAGTGAACATGAAAAGAAAAGGTATTTTCCTTTTTATACAAGTTAAATGTAATAAAATGTAATTTTTAAATACTTTAAATTATTCAAGATTTCATCACTATTTACATTGTTCCAACTGTTGTCCTCATCTTTATTGTCACATTCACACTGTTTCGGCTATTGTATGCTCCTGCCTTCTTCAGGTGATATTTGTTGGAATTTCTAACCAAACCCTTTATTTAGTCCATAGGGGTAGATTGGTCTAATTGCATATGCCATTCTTTGGATATCTCAGTTTTAGTTAATTCGCCATGATAAGTTTTTGTTCTCTCTTGCTGAGATTGACTTTCAACTCTTTGGGTCAAGTAATTTTTATGATCAATCAACCAAACACTTTTATCCACATGGCTTTTAGAAGCTTTTATCCACTGGATGAGAATATAATGTGAGGACTTACTTAATTTTTAAGTACTCAGTAATCTTAAAAATTTAAATGAATGTATATTATGTCTGATCATGAGCCGTTTGAATGTTTGCTTTAATTTCTGGTGAAAATAAAGACAAAATTTGTATAACATTTGGATATTTTTTTGTTAAGTTGGTCCTAAGCTCTCGGCTCCCAACAGCCATTCTCAGATTGGTTATACATACATGAAACAAACATATCAGCCATCTAAGATGATATTTTGTTATTTTGACTTAGAAAATTGCTATGCGGTGTTAACTCTGTTGAACAATGTTTTCTTCTTTTTCACCAGAAATTAAGGCAAACATTTGAACAGCTCATGATCAGACATAATAGACATTCATTGTCTATTATATTTAATAATATATGTTTAAATAATGATCTGCAGTCCCAATATATATACACACACACACACACACGCATATATATATATATATATATATATATATATATATATATATATATATATGTATATAAATAAAAAGAAAGAACAGTAAGATATAAAATCCGGTGTTCTTATAGATATTTTTATTTTTATTTTACAAAATAGTGCTCAATGTAAATTTATAGAGCATTAATATTATAAATTAATTGATTTAAAATATTTTTTTTTTAAGCTACACATTTCCAACCATGTTTCAAAAAATAGCTTAAAACCCCGAATTTAATTTTGCAATTAAATTAAAAGCATTAATTCCATTTCATCTTTGTTAATTTTGGAGTAACTTTTAAAAATTACGGTTTTAAAGACACAGCTAAAATCACGTTTCCATGGTTACAGAATATTCTACTTAAATTGAACAAGGGATGTCTAGATTTTCCTTATGTCAGTATCATTGTATCAGTTATTAGCTACAATTTGGTAAGGGGTAGGGATGTATTTTACAATGAAACCTGACATCAGTTGAATGGATGTCGCCTGGATTTAAAAAAAAAAAAAAAAAAAAAAAACCCGGTAATTTTTAAAAGTTACTCCAAAATTCGCTTGAAGATGAAATGGAACTAATGCTTTTAATTTAATTGCAAAATTAAATTCGGGTTTTTAGCTTCTATTTTGAAACATGGTTGGAACTGTGTAGCTAAAAAAAAAAAAACATTTTAAATCAATTAATTTAATATATATATATATATATATATATATATATATATATATATATATATATATATGGTGGACTCTCCCATCATATTCAACATATGAGGGTCAAACAGCTCAGTTCCTAAGAACCTACAGCCAAACACCAGCACATGATTTGATTATTGTGGTGAAGGCTTTGTGCGGAGCAAACCACACTTTTTGAAGTGTGGTTGGTTTTATATATATATATATATATAGATATATATATATATATGGTGTATCAAAAATACTTTTACAAACTTTGGGTGGGGTTTCTCATGTCAAAACATGGACAAAAGTCCATATAAACATGCCTGCAAATCCTTTGTTTTTGAGTTATTAATTTTTAAGTTAACGGTAGATGGCACTTTGTTGTCATGTAGACTAGGTTATATTTGCCATTTGTGTACATTTCTGGCTAATATGTCTTCAATGTTTAATGTTTGTAGTAGTGAGTTAACTGAGAACTTCATATTGTGAGCAGGCAGATATGATTTTTACATATGACTATGCGAATGGTAATGGACATGAGGCTGCACAGCTGTATCAGATTGTGTTTCCAGACTGAAGACTATCGAGTCATTCAACCTTTGCTGCTGTTTATTGTTGTGTTGCTGAGACTGAATCTGTGGCAACACAAACTATAGATTGAAGAAGACTGGTTGTACATTTAACAGCGTCTACCGTAAACTTTAAACTTAACTCAAAAATGAAGAATTTGTGGATATAGGTTTATATGGACTTTTGTCCTTGTTTAGTTGTGAGGAACCTGCCCTCAAAATTTGTAAAAGTATTTTTGATACACCCTGTAGTACAACTTGATGTTTCATGTACAACACAATCTTCAAGTGTTGAATAGAGACTGACTGTTACATAATCTAAATTTTAATAAAAATATCAGTTTAACATAATGCTGGCACAGTCCACATATTATATGGGAGATTGCTGGTTAATTATAAAAAAAGAAAGAAGATTGCATTGTGCATGAAACTCTGAGTCATGATACTAGTGAGGAATAATATGTATATTCTTTCATATATACTTAATAGCTCTGTTATGTTACATTGAGCACTATTTTATTAACACCAGCTCTCAATGTGTGATATATATATATATATATATATATATATATGATAAAAATATTGTTTTAAGGTATGCTATATTTATACCAAGGAGGCACGGTGGAGTAATGGATAGTGGCTCGGATTAAGGAACTGGAGAGCCGAGTTTGAATTCCATTTGAATCTATTACACTCACTTATGTGCTAATACCCTTGGGAAAGGTATGAATCCTCTTCTCCTCCCCCTAGCTATGGGTAAATAGCAGAACAGACCAGGTTCTATAGCTTTGGATGGCAACTGGTCTACCGCAGAAAGAAATGGCAACCTATTGCGGGGAAAAAATCTGTCTCATCAGTCATGTATTGAAAGATACATGATCGCCTAAGCGTATATCACTCCTGGCACATAATTGACTGATATTTATGGGTTAAAGTGCTCAATATCAGGGATAGAGCGTATGTAAATATAAAAGTGGATATTCAACTCAACACCCAACTGCTGCATGTTTAACTCAATGTAAACTTTTACATACATAAGTGTTGTACACACACCTGTGGAGTAAAGATATTGCTGCTGTGGTTATTGTAGGAAGTAGTTTTTCACAGGATCAAGTTTTTAGATCCATGCCAAACCTGTTTTGAATTCAGAGTTGTCCTTCTCTTAGACTGGTCGCTAATCAAGGCTAGAGATGCCAGGCTGTTCTACTATTTAATTCATAGTTGGAGGAGAGGTGATTGATTCCTATTTTTCCAAATAGTATTTGCATGTGAATAAATGCTACAGCCTTGTATTGAATTTGAACCAATCCCATTTTCCATGCTGATAACCATTATGCAACAAGCACATCCTATGGTACATCTTAAGATTTCAATTAAAAATGTTCTTGGTTGTAGCTCTAATATTTATCTCACTGTTTATTCTTGTCTTCTTTTAATAACATTTTTTCTATGTCTTTATTTATAGAAATAGATACGATTCACCTGATAGGCACCAGAGATCACGCAGCCGATCCCCAGCTGAAAGAAAACGTAGCAGATCACCTTTTGACCATCGTCACAGGTCCTCTCCCGAACATCGTCACAGGTCCCCACCTGACCATCGACACAGGTCCTCTCCCGAACATCGTCACAGGTCCCCACCTGACCATCGACACAGGTCCCCACCCGACCATCGACACAGGTCCCCTTCCGACCATCGTCACAGGTCGCCTCCCGACCATCGTCACAGGTCCCCTCCCAACCATCGGCACAGATCTCCACATGGCAGAAAACGCAGTAGGTCACCTCGAGATCGATGTCGTAGCCGTTCTCAAGAAAGACATTCCAAGCGATCGTCAGGTAGAGACAGATCCCCTCGGAAATATAGAGATAAATCCCCTAAATCTTTTAAATCAAGTCGAAGTCCTAGCCGAGGTGAGAAAGATTATAAAAGAAAAGATATTGAACGTGATCAACTTAAAGAGAGAAGCAGTGATTTGCCAATGGAACCTTGTTGTGGACAGGTTTGTCTTTCTTCTTTCTTTCTGTTTGTGTATATGTTTTTGTATTCATTTTTATGTTGCATTATCTATGTTTCCACCCTTTATCCTTGTTGGACTAGTGCAAAGCTTTATATTTTCAGTACCTTTTTTTATAATTTCAATGAAGATGTCATGGCTCACAGAGACTGCAGTAAATGTAAAAACAATTTTCATTGGATGAATTCCTAAATAACCAAACTCATATAAGCACAGGCCAAATATTTAAAATCAGAATGGAAATTTGCAGATTTAACTTAAAGAGGCCAAGAATCTAACCAGGAGATGATTGCTCCTGGTTGGGTCACTTGAGAGAGAAAGAGAGAGTCTGAGATGAAGCTTCCTGTTACACTGCCAGGGTGTTTGAGATATATTTGGGGAAGGTCAAATATTTTTCCATTTGTAAAAATTTATAATGCATCATATCACTGATACCTGTTTATTATTATCCCTGTGACTTGGTGGATATTAATAATGTCAACATTTTATGTACACTGTTCTTCCCACTTATCAACAATTTTGCTTTACGCAGAAATAAATAACTCATAAATTTTATGATAATTCCAAATTATAAGAGTAAAGGTGTCGATAATTCAAATGTCAGCCAAAATGCTTCCTTTAAGCAAAAAATTGAAAATTCTTGAATTAATAAGGAAAGGTGAAAAAGATTGAATGTTGAGCTTGCTAAGATTTTTGGTAAGAACAAATCTGTTTGTCATTTGATATTTTGTACAGCAGAAAATGTTGACAGAGCCTGAAGGCCAAAACACTTTTTGCAGAAAAAAATAAGAAAGAAAGAAAAAAGTCTCTTCACTGAATGAGATCAGCGAGCTCGTCCATTTCCATACTTCATGAATAGCAAACTTTGAAGGGTCCAACTGCCATAATGACGACTGACTTTTCTTGCTTGGCAGACCCTTGCAAGACTGCGTGTGTACATGGAGATTTTAGACTTTGTGAAATTTTACTATGCACTTTTATTACAGTATATTGTTAATACAAGTTTTGTCTATTTAAATTGTTTGGACTGTTGTCCTCATTTTTATTGCCATATTCACAACGTTTCGGCCATTGTAGACTCTGGCCTTCTTCAGGTAATATTTCTTGGAATTTCAAACCCTTTATTTAATCCATGGGTGTAATTTGTTCTAATTCCATGGGCCATTACTTTGGATAACTTGATTTTAGTTAATTCCCCTTGATAACTTAACTCTGTGTGTGGAATTGAGTAGACAAAACAGTTTGAAAGCTGTTGATAGTCATGCCAGAACAGAGTCACAAGTCCTTTTTATAATGGTCGCATAGTACATCTTCAGTCTTGGTTGCAATCTCTCTAGAGAGGGTGTCTTGATAAAAATGTTATCTTCTGTATTTTTAGTTCCTGTTCTTTTGTTGTTGTTCTTCCTTAATGTTTTTCTTCCTCTCGTATTCTTTCACACTCAGTAACCTCCTGCATCTTAGTGGCTTTATTGCCTTGCTTGGGGTTTTAAAAAAGTCTGAGAAATTTTAATTATTTATTTAAAAATTTTTTTTTTCTGCTTTTTATTTCAAATTTTTCTCAAATTGAAGAATTCTTTTTAATGAAAACTCTTTAATTGCTATCTCTTCAGATATATAATGGTAAAGTTACCACAATTATGCAGTTTGGTTGTTTTGTTCAGTTGGAAGGTCTGCGGAAACGTTGGGAAGGACTTGTACACATTTCACAGGTAAGAATTGTTTTGGCCTTAGAATTTTTACCTTTTTGTATCTTTTTTTTCCTGGTTTGCTTCAAATTGAGATAAATAATCAATTGATTGAAAATTGTCCATAATCAAACGCATAAAATATCATGGTAGACTTATTTTAATGTCTGTCCTGTGGTAATTACATAAAGTATAAAACTGAGTCTTAATTAGAACTGGTTTTGACTCTCACTTAGAAATTATCAATTCAGCTCATTTGTAGTCATAATAATTAAACAATTATAAGATAAATTAATATTTAACAATATTATGTAACTCAGTGGTTCTCAACCAGGGTCCATATGCACCATTATTGGGGCCCATACAAAAAAAATAACAAATTGTGGGTCCACAATAATATTTTATTGGTCCATAGGGCAATTTTATTTTGGAACGGTTGTTACAACTGAGAATTGTAATTTCTACAGTAATCTACACCATATTAAAATAGAAAACCTTTTGTAACCTAGAGAAGGTTACTGAATAGAATAATCACATGAAGGTTGATAATGAATGATAATACTTAGGACAAGAACAGCACATATAGGATTTGCCAGTGGCATGTAGAAGTAGTAGTCAACTGATAGAAGTGAGTCAAGTGAATTCCACAGTGAATCTCCAATTGTAGGATATCTACCAACCGCCCAACGTGGTCAGATATGGCACAAGACCGAATTTAATGTGGGGTATCTGAGCCTGCATAAAAGGGGAGGAAATCTATCTCATTTTTTTATTATTAAATTTACCTTCCATATTATCAGACAGTTATACATTGCAGAAAAGTGGGAATATATTTTGCAACTGAGGGTAAGTGCTATTGCTTTTTTTCCTCAGCTTGACCAGTCTCAGTTCATTTTGGGGATCGGGAGCATTTTCTCAACAATATATAAATTATATAAGGATTATATATAAAGGAAGGATTAACACTATTAAATTCTTCAACAGCATCAACCACCAGACTCCCATTGAATATATCTGCACTTTTTAAAATTTATTAATTACTTGCATATTTTAAAATAGTTTATAAGCTATTTTACTAGTGTGCATAAATGTTCCATTGAGTTTAGTTGATAAATACAAGTTTATTTTCAATAAATTAGTTTTATTTCAAAATAAAGCATATACATTTACTATTTCTATATACAATTCCTAAATTTATCTATGAGTAAAAAATAAAGTAATGAAATGGTTATGGAGGTCCACCAAAAAAATTAAGAGTAAAAATTGTCCATGGGTAAAAAAAAAAGGTTGTGAACCATTGATGTAATTCCTAGAACTTAACTAAAATGGCATTCACTTTTCTCCTCTACAAAATATTTTCAACTTGTTATTATAATTTGCTATCAGCTTCATTAGCTTCTATTTGTAGCAAGATGAGTGTAAGTTTTATTTATTTTAATAATATAGGAAAATGCCAGCATCCAAATATGTGGATTTGTAATTGGGTTAGAGATTTACTAATTGGGGAGGTATAGTGTAATAGAATGGACATCAACAGCAAGTGGAAAAGTTGGGTAAAGCAAGAATCTGTTTCTTTTTCTCACCAGCTTTGGGTTAAGTAGCAAAGTAGACTGACTTCTCTAGTCTTGATTGGAAGCCAGTCTAAGAAAAGTAAACTCTGTATTGCAAACCGTGGAAAAAGCAATGGAGAAACTACTCCACTATCTTTCCCAAGAATCCATGGCAATTCACACACAATAAAGAAAAAGAATCTGTGGAAAGCCATGACTGCTTATGTCCTGAGGGAACATGGAATTTTTTTTTTTTTTTTTAACAGGGCGGTGGATTTGGAAATGTTTTGATTGTGATGTATGTCAAAAGACAACTCGGTTGGAAATGTCTTTTGTGAGACACCTTTTAATTTATTATCTATATATTAATAGACTTCACACTTGGTTGAGCCTCTGATCGGAAGATTGGAGCTTCTGAGGAGCATGGAATCACCTCTTAGTTACTGTTGTTCTCAGGTCCACCATGACTCAGGATAGTAGCACCTGTTAGGGTCCCAGTTATCAGCAAATAGTGAACCTCCAAACAAAAACAAAACTATGAAAGTGTAAAAATACCAGCAATACATTTTTATATAAAAAAAAATTGCTAACAATACCTACTTATAGTAAAATTAGCAACAATATATTTTATCTGTGGTTGAAGGCATACAATTTTGTTTAAAATATTTAGATTTTGGCAATAAATAACCTATAGAGATTAATATGCCACTAATGAAAATCAGCCAATCAACTAACACGAAAGAACTCTAATGACATTAAACCATATAATATCCTGGAGTTTCTTAAAGGAATCAAACTGTATTCCAAAATATAACTTCAACAAAACTACAACATAAAACACACACAGCACCACCTTGAATAATTATGTCCACACAAACATGTATATACACAAAAGCGGAGTATCCTCTACCATGTATTCAGTTGTGAAGGCAGAATAACGTTTCATATTTTTATTAAATCAAAGCTCTCAAGAAAATTAAATTTCAGCATTAAATTGGCCCATGAGGAGTTGATGTGTTGGTAAACAAACAAACAAATCAATCAACACTTGGTTGAGAGGCAAAGAGAAAGGCAGAGAAAGAGTAAAACAGAAAGAGAGGGAAGGATGTAGAGAGACAAAAAGTCAGTGTGGCACAAAGAGGGATTAGAGCAGGTGTTATATTAGATAAAGGTAATAATTTGTAGTGAAGAGTTAAATCATGATTTGTGACCTCATCATCTGTTGAGAACAAATTTGTACCTGAATTACAAGTGGCCTTTTAAAATTAAAATCACAGGGGGATTGGAGTAGTGTCATCTGAGATAAATGCAGTTGTTTGTAGCAAGAGTTTGACTCATGTTTTGTGACCAAACATTCTGTCTATATTTCTGAGATGAGGTATTATGTACACTACATTATTTGGACTATTGTCCTCATCTTTGTCGCCATATTTATTACACTGTTTCAGCTCTAGTGCGCTCCGGCCTTCAGGTGGTTGGAATGTTGAACTGAACCCTTTATTTCACTCGCTGGGGTAGACTATTTTAGTTTCACGTGCCATGTTTAATGGATGTCAGTTATCAGTTATTTCCTGTTAATTCCCCTCTGCAAGTTAACCGGGTATTGAACTCACACACTTAGGGTTCTGTCACTGGATCTAACTAACGCCTTTATCCACTGTGCCATGTATCCTTGAGAAATAAAGGGTTCAGTTCAACATTCCAACCACTTGAAGAAGGCTGGAGCGTACTACGGCCGAAACATTGTAATAAGTATGGTGACAAAGATGAGGACAATAGTCTGAATAATGTAAATAGTGACCAAACATTCTTTTGAGGACATTTCAGTGTTTTTAAGAGAGACTGTGACTTTTGTCATAACTCTATGAGAATGGTCATAGGTTGAAAGGTAAGGTACAGCATTAAAAAAATGATTAGTAAATCTGAGTAATTTACATCTGTCCTACTAGAAGCACTAATTTCAGTAAGTGGAACCGTCATTATTTATGATTTGAGGTTTTATTTTAGGACAAAATATTTCAAATGGTGATGATTTTTAGATATTCTAAATTTATAACCTATCATTCCCTGGAAGGTAATATACATTTGTATATTTATTTATTTTTGTTTATGGGCCTGAATATTTGAGAAATTTTATTAAAAATGAATATGAGTTCTCTGGTAGGATTCGCACCTGCATCCCCTTGTTGAATTAATAAATAAAAAAAAATGAATGATTGTGTAGAATGTTTATGAAATGCATTAATGAGTCAGTTTTAGTAAAAAGAAAAAAAAAGTTCTTTTGTTAAATGGAGATGATTATTTTTTGTTTTTGATTCAGTTTTCAAGTTAATTTTCCTTTTGTTGAAATATTCTCACCTTGACTTTTTAAAATATTTTCCAGTTACGGCGTGAAGGACGAGTCACAAATGTGAATGAAGTTGTGCAGAGAGGACAAAAAGTGAAAGTGAAAGTTTTGTCTTTCACGGGAAATAAAACCAGTTTGTCAATGAAGGTAATTATAAGCCAAGTTTCTTCTTAAAATAGTCAATTTTTATCTATTTCTATCTGTAACTCTTCCTCTCTCTCAATATAGAGGTTGTGCCAAAATAATTGACATAATTTAAAATGTGAATATCTGAGTAACTACATGTTTCAAGCAAACAAAATTAAGTAAGCTTCAATACAAAATTTATTATCAAAATTTGAACAAAATATTCAAAGTGATGTAGATTTTATAACTGATTTCACAAAGCTTCAATATGCACACCACCTGTGACACAACTCACGTTAAGTTGGTAGTCCAGCTCCTACCAAACATATTGTAGCATGTCTTGTATAAAATTCTCTAGTGCCTCAGTGATCCTCAGCTTAATTTCTTCTAGGACTGTAGGAAGAGTGGAGATAAAGACCTGTCCTTTCACAAAAAAAAAAAAAATCAAAACATGTCAAGTCAGGTGAATGTGGTGGCCATTTTAACAGCACATTGTCATTATCACTGACATGCCTGATCCACTTTCCTGGTAGATTCTTATTGAGATAAGTCTGCTTAGTTAACTTAGTTTTTGCACATTTTATTAAAGTTTGAGATTATTTCAGCAAGAATTGGGTATGTTATTAGACTACAAAATGATGTCAGTTTTTTGGGGACACCATATATAAATATAATGTGGACATCAGAACTAAAACTACATTGTGACTATGAGATTCACACTTTAATATGAATCTGTTTGAAAATTTTATCAAAGTGTGAAACTGATAGTGTTTGTTTCAATCCTACTAGGAATGACTGCAAAACATTTACCCGTCCCTATTCTATAGACAGAAGCACACATGCAGGCTGGGATTTTTTCCTAGCCATTGAAATAAGCCAGTTCTCGGTTTCATCCAACTCAGTTCTGGTCGGTCTTGTCTTGAGGTTAACATGCTACATTCGCTTGTTTGAATTTGCTCTTTTGTGTCAACCTCATTTCTTAGTTTGTGAACATTTTGCCATATTACTGTTGCTTTGCCTTGCTTTATGTTGTTTGCTTGTTTTATATTATTTTTTGCCTTGTTTTTGTTCTTGTTATTGCAAACTGTGTCAATTTTGTTTGTTGGACAATCCTGTTACTTATTTTGCATTTGACCTTGGCTGTTTAATCCACAGATAATCACTAATTGTATTGAAGCATTAGAGTCACCATGTGATATTGATTTTATATATATATATATATATATATATATATATTATAATAATAATAATGGACTTTCCCGTCGCTTTTGACATATGAGGATCTGACAGCTTATTGATTCAGTCATGAAAGTTTGTGCGATAATCTGAAGTGGCGTTTAAGACCCGCTAGTGATTTACAAAGGAGACCACATATGGAGCAAGTGTGAGGATTGTGAGATGAGGTCACTGTTAGATTGGTTGACCTTTTAGATCTTGCTCTCGCTTCTTGAAGATGATTCAGACAAGCAGATTGAAAATTGCTGAGTCCACTAAAACACGTTGATCTCCATTCTACCCGCTTCAAGGCTAAGCACTCAAGGGTGTTATGTGGTATATTGACTGCTGACAAGTTGCTTTTCAGCTTGTCTTTGTATCTTAGCCATGGGCGTCCTACATTTCTGTAGCCCTGATCTAACTGGCTGTACATTAGGATCTTGGGTATCCTGTCATCAGACATTCTCAAGTCATGACCAGTCCACCATAAGTGAGACTGTATGATAAAAGTCTTGATTCCTCCAATATTACACCTGTTAAGCAGGTCTATGTTAGATGTCCTATCTTGAAGCTTAACTTCACAGATTGCACGCAGAGACTTTTTATGGAAAACATCTAGCTGGCGTATCTGGTACCTGTATGGAGTCCATGACTCCATACAGGTATATATATATATATATATATATATATATATATATATATATATGTTTGTGTGTGTGGCAGTATAAAATTTTAATAAGGTTAATACAAATATAAAATTTGTCACTTAGCTGATTGAATTTAAAAATTTTATATTTGTATTAATCCTATTAATGCTCTATCTCTGTTATTGAGCACTTTATTGCAAAGAGTATTTGTCTTAAATGTCCTTCCTTTCAGACTTCTACTGACTGACAGCATTTCTGGCTTCACACTATCTTTGTTATCGCTATTAAAATTTATATATATATATAATTTGTTATTTAGATTCCTTGAGGTTTCTCCTATGTATTTTTTGTGACAATTATTACAAACAATAGTAAATTCCTCCTTCAAGCTAAAACTTGAAGAAAGAATTACCTAAAGGAATCTAAATAAAAGATTATACGAACATAAAATGTACATTTTACAAAACAAAACATCAAATGCATTTGTTGCTTGTCGTAATGAGACTGACCAAAATTTTGATATAAAAAATGATACTCTGTTCAAAGGAGAAGACAATTCACTGAGATGAAAATGTTTAGTGAGTACTTTGATCACAAGGTCATCCACAGTAAATTTGCAACATCTCATCATTCCTGTGAGCTTCTCGTGTGTGGAATATCAAATAACAAAAGTGATAAAAAGAAAAAGAATCTAAATGAAATCAGATAGATTATATACCCCCCCCACAAAAGCTAAATTTCAAATTCCCAGCATTTCTTGTTAATGTGCATGTTTAGTTGCCTCAATGTAACAAATTTAGTCCAATGAAGTCTTAAAAGTCAAAACGTGTCACGTGAAAACTTTTTAAGACTTTGTCATATATGGTTTTACCCCACTAATATTATAGAAGCTAGTCATAACAGATTTTCCTTGTCTGTCTCATTCAATGAAACATATAGGAATACACACACACACACACACACACACACACACACATATATATATATATATATATATATATATATATATATATAATAAAATTTATTTAATCCGTATGGAATTTCCATAAATAAATAATTTTTGCTCTGTCTTTATGACATAAAGAGCAAAAATGGATTTATATATCCTTTGAAATTCCATACGGATTAATAATAATTTTATTATATATATATATATATATATAAAATGTGTATGTTTCATGGAATAATATAGAGATATTGTGTCTACTTATTTTTATACTGATCCTTTCCAGTTGTCTAATCAGTTTCTTGATGTTGAGATAAAATTTATGAATGGAGGTGTTATATTTTTTTTTAACTCAAGTATTTTTGACTAACATCATTTTCAGGGGTAAATTACAATGAAAAACATGTTATTGCAACTGCGATAAAATCTGCATTCCATTGTCATAGTGATTTTTAAAAACATGTGTGAACACACTATTATTTAAAATTTTTAAATTTATCCATTGTAGTTATGGAATTTTTTTACAAAACAAGTGTTTCAGTATAAGGGAGCTGATTGGGAATTGCTAAAAATGTAAAAAAATAGCATTAGTATATAAATGTTATATCCACTTTAATAGGTTAATATAGAGGGTCTTGAGAATTTATTCCATCTTTCGATATGTCATCTTGCAGGTAGGATTCCTAGATCTACATTTCTTTCTAGATTTTTATATATGAAAAATAAACACTTGTGTCTGTCATGCTGCAATTATTTTTAATTTTGTCATTGATTCTATTTGAATTCTGGGAAAAAATAAATCTACATAATTAGTAAAAGAAACATTTTTCTTTGAATCATTTTAAAATTAAATTTTAGTTTAGCAAAGAGACACTTAATGCAACAATTAATATTTTATTTCATACCTAATATTTTAATTAATTGTAGGGCTTATTTTAAGAAATTCTAATTTGGTTGAATGCTAATTTCCATGCAGGATGTGCATCAGGAAACTGGGGAAGATCTCGATCCAGAACGGACGTGTCGTTTAGTTGGAGGAGAAGTCAAGGATGATGAAACTCGGGCACGTAATCCTGATCGTCCATCATCAATGCCTCTGATTAACATGCCTGAAGCTGAAGATGCAGTTGTTGACCGACATCGAGTCAAACGGATTTCTTCTCCAGAGCGTTGGGAAATCAAACAAATGATGGCAGCAAATTGTGTTGATAAATCTGAACTTCCAGATTTTGATGAAGAAACTGGCCTCTTGCCAAAAGATGATGACTCTGGTAAGGCCCTTCATTGGGATTTTACTTTGTTTTCTTATTTCTGTACCTATTTACTTTATTTATATTCACTTAAATGCCTCTTTTGGAAAGGTATTGTTTATGCTATGATATAATGACTATCTAACTTGTCTATTGTGGCAAGTGGGGGCTTCCTTACTTTGCAGTAGCAACAGAAATAATCAGTACGGTACAGCTACCAGAACTCATAAAAACACTGACTGATCTCTATTCGGCCTCTTTTCTACTTTTCCTTTCCAGCAGTCAAAACCTTGGGTTTTGTTCATTCCACTCACACACAAACCCACACAAGCAACTAGGAAAATTCCTACAGTGCCATTATCACTGATGGAAAAGAGTGCAGACAGATTAAAGATCTTTCTTGTTTATTCCTTTTTTTTGGTTTTAAGAAAACTAGTGGTGTCATGTCAGAAGACCTTAGTAGACTTTGGGTGCAAATGAATGCAAGCTCCATCAGACAATCAACTTGATGAGCCATATCGCGAAAATTATCATTTGAATTCTGATGAATAGAGCATGTAGCAGAATTAAATGGGAAATAGGACAAGAACTGTTCGGATTTGTTAAAGACAATGGAATAAGGAATGCAATGTTCACTATTTAGGTAGAGGGGAGATAACTGATAACTGGCATCCATTAGACATAGAATGTGGAACTAAAACAGTGTACCTCACATCACTAACAACCAGGTATGCAGCAGATTGTAATATGAAGTCCTTCTCAATACAGTGAAGAAAAAAAGAAACTGAGATGGTATGGTCATGTAACACAGTCAGATGGCCTTGCGAAGACAGTTCTTCAAGGAACCGTGGTGGGACGTAGGAGGAGGAGGGGAAGACAAAAGAAAAAGTGGAATGACAATATCGAGGAATGGATGGAGACATCAATTGCAGAGACCCAGACTATGGCACACGACTGCAACAGATGGAGGAAACTGAGGGACAGCTCAGCATGTCAGTACCCCAATGACTCCTTGGGTTGAGAGCAAAAGTCAACACAAAGATCTGTTTGAACTGCTAGGGAAACTTGATTTATTCGGGAAAGATATTAGAATAATACAGAACATATAAGGTGAATAAACCACCTTTATACAGATAGAAAATGAATTCAGTAAATACACAATAATAAAAAAAAAGGAAACTACTGAAACTCCTAGAGAAGGTGTGAAGAAAGGACTAACTATCATTTGTAAGAAGATAGAATTTATAGTTGTCAGCAAGAGGAATGTCCCAAGATGTCAGCTGTAAATTGGAAACACTGAAATAAAGCAAGTATGAAAATATAAACATCTCTGAAGTGTTTTAACAGAAGATGGAAAGTGTGACACCAGAATCCAAAGGAACATTTTAATTGTAAAGATGCCTTCTAAAAGCTAAGCAAAGTATTAAAAGGTAGGAAAATTTTCTTACTTCATCATGTTTCTTTGTTTCAATTCTCCTGAAAAAAGGATCCTCACCTGTGGTATCAACTACCACCACTGGACAACAGAAACTGTTGACAAGGAGAATGGTGACTTAAAGTCTATCAGACAACATCACCCCTTGTCAGAGTATGCTGTAGAATAGAAGAGGGACATTATAAAAATGGAGGTCCCCTTTGTTTGCCAGATCTTGTCATTCCTACATGAGTTTTCTGCCCATTGGAAAATTTGTAATAGATATAGGAATGCTACTTAAATCTTCATTTGTGAAGCCAAGCCATGATTAGGAAAAATGCACTTGATTAATTAAAATTTCAAAAGTTGAAGTTTATAAAACATTATTTGTTAACTATGTTTTAAATTTTTGCATAAATTTAGAACATCAGATGTTTCCCTTCAAATTCTAGAAATTAGATCAATATGTATAATTTTTTTTTTTTTTTACAGATGAAAAAGTAATATTTCATGATCATAGAATAATTTGACATATTCTCCCTTGCAAATATTTTTCAGTTTGTTTTTTGGTAGATTGTTTTTTTTTTAATCAGATTCACCCCATTCAAGGCAGTAAAGCCACTAAGAGACAGGAGGTTACTGAGTTTGAAAGAATTAGAAAACAGAAACAATATTGAGGAGCAAGAACAAAAGAGTAATCCAGAAGACAGTAGATAATGATTGACATTGCATTTAAATTTTTCAAGATCAAACTCTACTGGAAAGCATGGAGAAGGAAGAGAGTTCCACAATCTTGTGCCGTGCTTAAATTTATAAAGTATCATAGCCAAAAGCTCATCCGAACAAGTACCATGAAAGTATTTACAGAAAAGGCACAGGGAAAGGAAACTACTTTACAGTGGTAGGAAGGTGACTGAAACTGAGATGCCAGGTCAGGACCAATAATATTGTTGATTCGTCTGGATTTTATCAAGAATCTCTAAATATATAGCAGGAGCAGTGAAACATATGTGACAGCAATATTCGAGGCATGGATGAATGGTAGACTAGATATGTAAAATAGATTTGGGTGAGAAAAATTGTCGAGCATGACACAGTGAACCAACTTTTTTAACAGCTGACCTTGCAATGGATTCAATATAGTCTTTCTACTTCTTGTCAGCCAAGAATGTTAGTCCGAGAAGGAGCAACGAGTCACTTGTCTAGAGGTTAGCCTCAGCCATTCTGATGGAAAGCAGAAAAAGGTATCTCAGATGATTAATAGAGAACAGTTTTGTTTTGGATGCATTAAAATTAACAAGCCATCCTTTACCCCAGTTAACAACAGACAGTAGGTCACTTTTGAGATCAGCTGCCAATTTAACCTTATTGATCTGACCAGACTTATCGAGAGAGGAGTAAAAATTCTTAAATTTATTTATTTTTTTTTCTCCAGATGAAGACATTGAAATTGAACTTGTAGAAGAAGAACCTCCATTTTTACAGGGACATGGCAGACAAGGAGGCCTTGATTTAAGTCCTGTTAAAATTGTAAAAGTAAGTAGGATTCATTATTAAAAATGATTAACCCATTAATTGTGACAAAATATCATTTGCTGTCTTCTTAATGTGACTCTAACTTAAATCATATTTTTTTGGTTACATATTTAAAAAAACATGAGTGAAAAAAATCTTGATAAAATAAAATGGTTTTGAGGAAAATTAAAAGCAAATTACATAACATATATTTATTTAAAAAAAGTCTAATTTTTTAAATTATTACAGCATTCAAAAAATGGATTGAAAAATCTCTAAAATACAGTGCAACAGAAATACCTCCCACATAATGGTAAGACATTAGCTTGATGAAGACACCATTGCCACTAATGTCTTATCATTATGTGGGAGGTATTTTTGGTGCATGCTATAATATCAGGATTGATTTCTTTTAATTTGATGTCAGATATTTCAATAAAAGTGAAAAAAAAAAACAAAAGAACAAAACAATCCTTTGATTCTCATGTCATTATTATTGAATAATTTAGACGTATTATGTCTATTTATTTTAGTTTTAATCCTTTCAAGTCCACAAATTAATTTATAATTTTTATTTTTCCAAGTACTTTCAATCTCATCTGAGACCATCTTCTGGTGTTGCATATTGATGGATGTGTTATGTGTTAACACCATAATCTGCCTTCTCACAAAGTTATCTTAGACATAATACGTCTAAATTATTTGACCAAACATGCTTGAATGAAAATATACCGCCTAAATATACCTTTTTTTTAAACTACATGATTCAGCAGCTCATCACAGCACCAACACTTGGCAATTCAAACGTAACCTTGGAAGAAGGCAGAATTTTCAAAATGTTTCTTGTTCAATTTAGTTTTTTAGTGCATTGTTAATATTATTTATATAATAAGATTATTATGTTATCATTGTTTTTTTTTTTTTTTTTTGTTAATCACTAGAATTTTTTGCAACATGCTGACACATTTTGAAATCCTCATAGTATTTAGTATTGTTGAAGTTATTGCTAACATGTTTTCTTGAGATTTACAAACTCTACATTTTGTTCAATTTCACAAATCAATCGATGAAATTTGAATAAGCTGATTTGTTTAGAAAAAATACTTTGACAAAAACCCTACTTTGCGGTTTAATAATTTCTTTAATTTCATTTTATAGGACTTCATGGTAAACAATATTTTTAAAAAAATTTCTTTTTTTCCTTTTTAACAGTGAAGGATAAATTCTTAGGATTTTTTACTCTTGAGCATGCAACATACAAATGGCCATGCGTAAATATTTATTTCTGATGCCAAATTTGAACGTTTTGAATTGTTTGGTCTTGTCGTTTGTTTATAGTTCTCACAAATGCAGGACAAACTAGAAACTGTATATATAAAAACTTTAAAGATATGCAAAAACAATATTGCATTTTTATTAAATAAGTGTTATTTTAATCATGAAATTGTTTTTAAAATAGTGGGAGTATTTTGTATGTTAAATAATAAAACTTAATTTTTTGAAAAAATTAATGAAAATTTATTGTACTAAACTATGCACCCTAGTAAAACCATCTGCACTTTGTATCTCTTACCTGTTTGCACTTCTCCTCAAAATTTGGTTTTGATTGGTCAATGTATGCTATTTTAGAGGGTAAGATGGATGGACGAACGGACAGAAGTCACAGAATTTTATATATAGATTCAAACCTCAAGCAAGATGATATTGCCACTGATGCCAGGGGTTCCTGAGTGTGAAAGAGAATGAGAAAACTTTTGTGAGGAGAAAGGACAATAAAAGAATCAAATTCAAGAAGAAAGAAGATGGCAATTGATGTTATATTTAAATTTTTGAAGATTGTAAATGGCAAGGAAGCAAAAAACTGGAACAGTATTTCACAGGCAAGAAGTACAAGAAAAGAAATTATTAGAATAGAACTTATAGTTAAATCTAGCTATTTCAATAGTAAAATGATGAGACCTAATAGCCAATCTAGTAGTACACTTAAATTTATGCGGTTGAGGTACCAAGGAGTATAACTGCCAGGATAATATTCCAAACAATAATAAAATTAAAGAAAACATGGGTATGCCTGTTAAATAAATCATTTGTATTTACAAACGATTACATGAATTCAAAATAGTCAAAAAGTAGTAAAAATAGTCTTTTGTTGAATTTAAAGTCTTTTAGTAGTTGGTTTACAGAAAAAAAAAAGCTGAGGTTGAGAAAAGACTTTGATCATTGTTGAAGATGCAGTGACCGTTCCTGCTGCTTTTGTTGTCAGAGATGATTTGCTTTAAGTCGCTGACACGTTTCTTTCAGCACATACTGGGGAGAATGAAAAAGCTATGTAGCCACATCGTCTATTGTGTTTGGACAGTTGTATTGTAGAATCTTTTTGGCATGTTTATAAATATTATCTGTGTTTAGGTAGAAGATAAAAGTTTGGGCATGTTTTAGTATGGTCTGTATGTGGGTATGTAATTGTGTTGGAAATAGCGTTTCTTTTCTGTAGCCTAACTAACTAGGCCATGAGAAGTCATGACAAAGCAAGTCTCAATTGCCCCCCACCTTTTTTTTTTTTTTTTTTTTTTTTTTTTAAGAGAAGTGCATCTCTTTAACAGGATCTTGGTAGGCAAAAGAAAGGAAAAAGTGATTCTTATATGACGTATATGTCTAAAGAAATGTTGAACACAATGTTTGAATCTGTAGCGCTCCATTATGAACAAGAAGACAAATCTTTATTGCAATTCTGATTGGTTAATTAGGGAATGGTCTAAGGAAGATAATAAGGTTTGTTTTTACTCAGTACTCCACAGGGAATTTTAAGAAATGCCTATCTAAACCTTTCACAGTCTATATCTAATCGGGCTAATGACTTTTTTTTTACAGTGGTGTTCACCCTGTACAAAGCCCGAGAGTCACTCAATGAGTAAGGGGCACAACTTATACAGATATGTGTGGAAGATAACGGTTAACTGTAGATTTGAGCAAGTTGAGCTTGTAGTGATTGGGGAAGTATTCTATTGGGTGTCAGTTTCACAAGGCAGTGGTTTGTAAAAAGAAGCTGCTCTAGTGGAGCTTACATCTCACTAATGAAATACAAAGGGAATGAGATTGGTTTGCCCTAATGTGTGTGACATAGCAGGTCTTAATCAGGAAAGTTAGGACTGGTGGAATTAAGGAATGGAGTACATCTGAAGACTTTCCATGGGAATAGCAAAAGAGTAGTTAGAGGCTTGCAATGTCTCGTCTGTGAAAAAGGGAATGTAGCTGGGGGCGGGGAATAATTTGGTACTCATAAGGATGTGGAGACACTTTTGGACTCTATTGAGAGTGGAAGACTGTGTAGTGCCTGCGCATATATGGCAGCAGTATTCCATTCTCAGCCTCATCTGGCTCTTGTAAAGGCGAAGGACAGCAGTAAGAGTCAGGTAATTACTGGCCATGTTTCCAGAATCTTTAGCGACGGATTGTATGTATGAGTTCTGTTTGAGGTCAGGGTTGGGTTTAAGTCCCAATAGACGATCAAGGCATGGTGTCTCTATTAGAGAGAGTTCTGAGTCCATCTTTTCCGGTGTCTGTCAATTCTGGTAAACATTAGGGAATTTCCAACTGAGCCTTTTTATTTAATCTATGAAGGACAATAGCCTAGTGTTGGTTTGTGAATTTGGTGGCATAGTAATTGTGAGTTCAATCCTAGGGCAGGGTTGCAAAAATTTAGACTCTGTGGAAACAGGGAGTGCAATAACTAAGTTGTGCTAAATAAAACAAGACAAGATATATTTTTTATCATGGATCGCAGAATGAGAATAATCTACCAGCATAGATTAAATAACAAGTTCACTTCAAAATTTCCTGAAGGTTACCTAGATTGACAAAAAATCTGAAGAAGGCCAAAGAGCACAGCAGCCAAAATGTGATAATAACAAAGATGAGGATAATAGTCTAATAGGTGTTCATCAGGATTGGTTCTGTGTCTGATCTGCAATCATTCACATTTGCTAACAAAGCCATTTTTTTTTTTTTTTTTTTTGAAGCAATTAATGGCCTGCCTTAATCCAATATTATTTCTTCTTATTATAAACATTATATTTAGTGTTTGAGTAGACATTCCTGTCTTTTTATTTCTTGATTTGTGACTCAATGTCATTTTCTCTTTCTTTTTTTTTTTTCTTTTTTTTTTCTTTTTCATTTTTGGTATCTTGATTTTGTTTGCATTTTCTTTTCATTTATAAATGAAAGAAGATTAGATTGAATATTTCCTGCATTTTGTAAAATTTTAGTTTTGTTTTATTGTGTTTGTAAAAAGATTTTCTTCAGCTAAATAATTTTGTTTTTCTTTTCATAGAATCCAGATGGTTCTTTGTCTCAAGCTGCTATGATGCAAACAGCTTTACAAAAAGAACGAAGAGAATTAAAACAAGCTCAAAGAGAAGCTGAAATGGACAACATTCCGGCTGGATTAAATAATCACTGGATTGATCCAATGCCAGAAGGTATCACAGCTGATTTGATTTCAAACTTAGACATTTTGGAGCGATTTGAAAAAGATGAAACATTATGATTATTTTTTTTAAATTTACTTGGATTGAAATTTAACATTTTAAAGCTTTATTTTTATTTTAAAAGTATTAAATCTGTCCACTTGTCACTTTTCTCTGTAGAATTAATCAATGACATGGTTATCAATGTCATAAGAAGAGTTTCAGACTTGACATATTTTGTTTTTAATTGATTTCACATGAAGCAAGTCAGTAAAACCACCAAGACACAATGGCTTACATACAGGGTGTGGAAGAATTAGAAACAGAAACATTAATAATGAGCAAGAACAAAAAGAGTAATCTGGAGGACAGAAGATAGTGATTGATATTGCATTTAAATTTTTGCAGATTTAAGTTGGCTGGTGTTATGGAGTGGTTTCACAGTGGAGGCTTGTATTTGTACTAAGTCGGTCCTAAAAAAGGTTCAACGTACAAAACGTTAGGAACTTCATATAATAGGTATGTTGAAGCTTGAATAAGCATGGAATAATAATAATACAACACAAAATGTACGTAACAAAATGTATTGAAACAATGAAAAAAGGTACACAATATTTACAGGTAGTTTTGGTATATTCTTGGGAAGACTGTTCCTGCAGAATGGGTTGACTAAGTCGCAGTCGGGCAGAGTCTCTGGATTCGATCTCTTAATCTTCCGTCGTCTTCCGGTACCAACCCATATTTATATGGTCGGTACTCCACTTATGTAAATTAGGTGTATCATACACAACAAGGTATGACACAGAGAAAATCTAGTTGTGGTCGCTGATACCTTAGTATCCGACTAACTGTTGTCCGGCATCGATTGACTGACTCAGCCACTGAGTGACTGCCTTGTTACTCTTACTACTCCTACTTATTATAGGTGGGAGAGTCTATTAACTATAGAATAGGTGTGTTCCACTATAACAGCTGGGAAGCATGGAGCCTGAAGGAAATTCCACAAGCAAGAAGTGCAAGAAAAGACACTGTTAGCATAGAATTTACAGCTACAAGTAGACAGCTCAACTGTAAATTGATGAGATCCCAACGTCAGTCTAGTACTGCACTTAAGAGCTCAAGTACAGATAACTCTAAGAAATCAGTGATTAGTTTAATACTGTATTTATATAATGAACAAGACCCCCATTTCCAAAATGGAAAAAAAACTATGTTTTTGAGTCTGATAAATGTTGTGATTAGAAAAAAATCAAATGAATCCTAATCTACAGAAATTATAAAAAACATATGAACCAGTTTACTTAATTAACCAATTACTTATCGCCCAACTGACCATTTATATATGACTATTTTAATGCTGCCTTTTTTGGTTTTGTTTTGTAGTTGAAGGCCGGAAACTTGCAGCTAATATGCGAGGAATTGGCATGATGCCTAATGATGTTCCAGAGTGGAAGAAACACATTACGGGAGGGCCAAAAGCTTCTTATGGAAAAAAAGAAAAGAAATCAATTCTTGAACAAAGACAAAGTTTACCAATTTATAAATTGAAGGATGAATTAACTAAGGTATTCTTTGAATTATTTTCAAGATTTTATTTAACAATAATGCAATGTTATTCAACATTATTTTGTTTGAGAATAAAATTTTTTTTTTCCTTTTATTTTATAATCATTTCAACCCAAGCAAGCAAGAGGCTTATTAACATATCATGGTGGATCTCATATAAACACCAAAGTTAAGCAACATTGAACCTGGTCAGTACCTAGGTGGATGACTGCTTGGGAATACAAGGTGCTGTAAGCTTGGATGTACGGGTGGTGTAATGGAAGACAACTAAGTATTGGAACTTGGAGAACTGAGTTCTAATTCCCATTGGGTTCATTATATTTACTTATATGCAAATACCCTTGGGAAAGGTATGAATCTGCCTCTTCTCCCCACCACCTATGGGTTAATTAGTAGAACTTGTATCAGTAAAAAATCATTGTTTCCTCCCAAAATTTCTTACATTTTAAAAAATATCTTCTGGCTTTAAATAACCTGCAAAAGCTTGAAAAACCATAAACACAAGTCAATCTATCAAAGCCACTAAGATACATGGGGTTACTGAATGTTGGAGTATATGAGAAAAAACATTAAGGAGAGAGAACAATAAAAAGGCATAATATAATGGTTGACATTGCATTTCAATTTTTGAAGGTCAAAGTTGACTGGAAAGTAAGAAGAGTGAAAGAGAATTAGAAGACTTTAGTGAGGGGAAAGGACAATAAAAGAAGAGGAATTAAGAAGACAGAAGATAACGATTGACATTGCATTGAAATTTTTGAAGATCAAAGTTGACTGGAAAGTAAGAAAAGTGAAAGAATTAGAAGACTTTAGTGAGGGGAAAGGACAATAAAAGAAGAGGAATTAAGAAGACAGAAGATAACAATTGACATTGCATTTAAATTTTTAAAGATCAATGTTGACAAGGAAACAAAAAGCCAAAAGAGTTCAGCAAGCGAGAATTATGAGAGAAGAAACTGTTAGCATAGAATTTATGGTTACATCTAGCAATTTCAACTGTAAAATGATAAGACCTAGCTGCCAATCTAGTACTGAACTTAAATTCATAAAGTGAAGGTAGCAAAGAGGAAAGCTCATCAGAACAATTACCATGAAAATATTTGTAGAAAGCGAAGCTATCTTACAGCAGTGGAGAAAGTGACTAAAATAGAGATGCTACATTAAGATTGATGACATTGAAGATTCTTTTTTGAATTTCATCAAGAATCTCTAAAGAAACACCAGACCAGATGTGGTAGCGATATTCAATAGACTTAAATATATACTGAGATTAATTAAATTTTTCCAAAATAACATTTTCTTTGCTACAATGTTGTGACATTGTTTATTGGCTGTGCTGGCCCATTTTTAGCAAAATAAGAAATTGCCATGTACTGGAAATAAATAACTATAAAGAAACTGATGGCTACTTGTCATGGGTGTCACCATTTTGGTTTTTATAGGATACTTAATAGTACTAAGTTAAACAGCATTCCCGACACACTATAGTAAAATTATGTAACAAAACAGGTTGTATGGCCCTCTATGTCTACTCTGGTCTGGAAATAGCACAAAGTGCTAGTTGGTTTGTAGCACAAACAATATTGACCAGAATTTTAGTGTTTGTGTATATGTTAACAGCAGGAAACGTATTAATATATCAACAGCAGTTGAAGTGTTAAATTTTTTCTCATACTTTTTTTTTTTTTTTAATCATTTCACTCCAAGCAAGGCAGGAATGCCACTAGTACACAGTAGGTTACAGGGAGAGAAATATAAGACTGAGTATAGGAAAGATATATATATATATATATATATATATATATATATATATTGGCCAATTCAAGGAAGACCTTTGGATTACTAATGCACAAAAAGAGAATGTCTAATATCGAGAATATTTAACATCAAAAAACATAAGAAAAATTAATTCCTTTTAATAATATGTGGAAATATCCACTCTTTGCCTGATGAAGGTTGTTAGAAGGTTGTTAGACCGGAAATCCATGTAGCAAAATTATGGAAAATAAAGCATAATATATTTTTTTAAAAATCCACATTACAACCAAAAAACGTTTGTGGTTTCTCTCTTCTTCTTAATATATACACTTTTCTCTTGTTGGAACTACTATTCCCTTTATATATATATATATATATATATATATATATATATATATATATATAGAGAGAGAGAGAGAGAGAGCTTCGTCGGGTTCCTCTCTGCAAGCAGAGAGTTCGACAGACACCGACCCGGCAGCTCACAAAGCGCAGATACTACACTTTGATCCTAGCCACCGGGCCGAGCGGGTATTCTTTTGAGAGATACAGGAGCTCCAGACCACATATGGCAGCCATGCATGGATGAATGGTAGATTTATAAATGTGTAAGATAGATTCTGATGAGAAAAATTTTCTGGTATGATGCACTGACCCAACTTTCCTTGCAGTCGATGCAGCCATTGATTTGATGTAGTTGCTCCGTTTCAAGTCAGTGGAGCCCTTTGTAAAACGTTTATGCAGTGAATGTTTAATGTTGTGAAAATTCCAGAACTAAATAAGGATTTTAGAAATTGTTTATTTGCTAAAGAAAATGACTTGCCCTTTGATTTTATTCTAACCAATATTTATCGATATTTAAAAAATGATTTTTATTTTCCAGGCTGTAAATGATAATCAGATTCTAATTGTCATTGGGGAAACGGGTTCTGGAAAAACAACACAGATTACCCAATATTTAGCTGAAGCTGGCTACACAGTGCGAGGAAAAATTGGTTGTACGCAACCAAGACGTGTGGCTGCAATGTCTGTTGCCAAAAGAGTTGCTGAAGAGTTTGGATGTCGTCTGGGACAAGAGGTAGGATGTCCTGTTATTGTTCTTTTTCTTTTTCTTTTTTTTTTTTTTTAAATAAATATTATTTATTTTTGTTTCTTTTAAAAAAATATATTTTGTTTCTTTTTTTTAAAAAAATATATTTTGTTTTTTTTAAAAAAAAAAATATTTTGTTTCTTTTTAAAAAAAAAATTTTGTTTCTTTTTTTAAAAAAAATATATTTTGTTTCTTTTTTAAAAATACTTTTTGTTTCTTTTTTTTTTAAAATATTTTCTTAATACTTTTTCTTTTTTTAATATTTTTTCAATATATTTCATTATTAAAAAATATTTGTTTTCTTTGATTTTCAAATAAATCTACATTTTATTTCTGCTGGATTCTTAATTTTTTCTAATTAATTTGATTTGAGAAGAATTCTGAAATTCTTTCCAATTATTTTTTATATCTAAAATATTTGTTTGGTTCATTCTATGGCCTTTTTGAGTTTTATTCTTTGTTGAGTTCATTTTACTGACTACTTTTTTGTGCAGTTTCATATCCACTATTATAAATCTATTCCAGAGAGAAGGGGCTTTTTTAAAAAAATTTTTTTTTTTTCTTATTTCATTTTTCTATGTGTGAATTTTTTATTTAAGCCACTTGATTTACAATACTGATGAAAGAGAAAGAATGGAGAATCATTACCTATCCTCATAATCTTAACTGTCTACCACCTCCTCTTTCATTCATATCATATCTCAGTCACCATAGTAATCCTCTACCTTGAGTGGCTCTTACGCCTAGTATTGGGTTAAATTCTGTTAAAAAGTGAATTGCTACTTTGTGGAAGAGACTTCTATGTGGATGCTTGTGGGAAAACTTCAATCTTAATCTCTTGAAATCAAGGGTCAATCATTATCCTCATAATTTTCACTTTCTACCATTTTCATTCATAGCATATCTCATTCATCATAACCATTTTCAATGTTGTGTTACGGATAGTACAAGATGGATGGATGGGTGATAAAATACATAATATTCTTTTGTTTACGTAGCTACTGTATAACAAACATAACCTTCTAATTTGAGTGGCTCTTAGGCCTTGTAGTTGGTGAACCACATACATACATATATCTGAGAAAAACTGTATGAAAAGTGGAAATGTTTTTATGTGACGTGTTTTGTCCCTTAGGACTTCATCAGACAAAATTTAGTCTGATGAGGTCCTAAAGGACGAAATGCATTATACAAAAACTTTTTACACTTTATCATGCAGTTTTTCTCCAATATTGTTGTTGATATATAAAATTATATATTGATATATAAAATATATATATATATATATATATATATATATATATATATATATATATATATATATAAAAGAGGGATTGTTGCTCAAAATATATATATCTGTATATATATATATATATATATATTTGAGCAACAATCCTCTTTTATACAGGTATTATTGAATATGACTGAAAAAGCACTGCAATTAAGCTTAAAAAAATAGAAAACTTCATTACAGTGCCTTGTTAGTTATCCTCAATGAAACTGTTTTATCTCTACGTAACCAACCACTACTCAACAAAATTTATTATGAATATAGCAACAACATATTAAAGTGCATATAACATTTAATGCCATTTTATATTTCTCCCAATTTCTGGTCAGTTCCCTTATATTGAAACACTAGCAAAAAATTTCAAAACTACAGTGGATAAATTGAAAATACTAAAATAAATATAACAGATTGTGTTTGCACATGTTTTTAAAAATCACTACCACAATAGAATGTAGCTTTTATCACAGTTACAATAAATTTGTCTTTGTAATTTACCCCTGATGATGATGATGAAAAAGGTAGAAAGTAGTTGGGTTAAAAAAAATACTGTGCCTTTCTTGATGAATTTCCTCCTAACATCAAAAAACTGATTAGACAACTGGAAAGGATCAGTATAAAAATAAATAGACACAATATGTCTATATTATTCAATGAAACATGTTTGAATAAAGATATGCTGCCTAAATGCACACACACACACACACACACACACACACACACACACACACATATATATATAAGCAAATATATGGATATAGATCTGACAGTAAGTCTTGTTCTTATGTACATCGTCTTTGTCATGTTGAATTGATAATGTTAATTATATTTTATGAATATGTCCTGAAGATGGTTTATTAGACCGAAACATCCGACGTTGACATATTAACATTAAAACAGCATAATTGTATATAAGGATTTTTGTTTGTTTTTTCCGTATATATTTTTCTTCATATATATATATATATAAAACAACAATTAAAATTAACATAAATTCCACAATTATTGAAACAGTGGTTTATTTTACTTACTAACTTTTTAGTTTCTTTTTTTTAGGTTGGCTACACAATTCGATTTGAAGATTGCACAAGTCCTGAAACAAAGATTAAATACATGACAGATGGTATGTTATTGCGAGAATGTCTCATTGACCCTGACTTACTTCAATATGCTGTCATCATGTTAGATGAGGCTCATGAAAGAACCATTCATACAGATGTCTTATTTGGATTACTGAAAGCGGTTTGTAAATCTTTTCTATAATAAAAACTATTTCGTTTGTTTGTATGAGTGTTGAACTTAAACACTAAAACTACAATATTTAGATGCTTAAAAGCATGATTTGACATGTTCCAGGGAAGATTTAGATAAACAATTTATTTCTGTATTCTTGTTTATGTATATGCAAAAATATTTATAAATTAAAAGGTACACTACAGTTTAAAAGTTTGAAGCCACCCCCAGAATTAACATGGGATGATCTTGACAGAAAAGTGAAACCTTTCCATCCAAAAATATTTATAAATTAAAAGGTACACTACAGTTTAAAAGTTTGAAGCCACCCCCAGAATTAACATGGGATGATCTTGACAGAAAAGTGAAACCTTTCCATCCAAAAATATTTATAAATTAAAAGGTACACTACAGTTTAAAAGTTTGAAGCCACCCCAGAATTAACATGGGATGATCTTGACAGAAAAGTGAAACCTTTCCATCCAAAAAATATTTATAAATTAAAAGGTACACTACAGTTTAAAAGTTTGAAGCCACCCCCAGAATTAACATGGGATGATCTTGACAGAAAAATGAAACCTTTCCATCCAAAAATTGACAAAAAGCTCTTAGAATCATTGAAAAAAGAATGGAATCAATCAAACTTATACTTTGAGAAACTTGCAATGAATGCCAAAAATTTGTGCTGCAGTAATCAAGACTAAAGGAGGATATTTTGATGAGAGCAAAAATTAATCATAAAATGCTTTTTTTGTTTAATTTTTACGGTCATTTTTATTACAGTTATTAATCTACTAAATCTTTTTTTTTTAAATTTTTAATGAATTTTATGTATTAAGTTTATACTTTTATTTAAATTATTGGAGAATAAAATACAATTGATTCCTGATTTGATTTGTAAAATCTTTCTTTTCAGGCTGTCAAAAAAAGAAAAGAGTTGAAACTGATTGTGACGTCTGCTACACTGGATGCTGTTAAGTTTTCTCAGTATTTCTTTGAAGCTGTAAGTATGAATGATGCAGAATTCATTAAATTCATATATATTTTGTACTCTTAATATTTCAATCAGAGAAAGAGCTTAAGTGTGATTTGACAATTAGAACAGATTGTCTTTGACTTGTAATTCTGTAGTATGTAATTCATGCCAGGAAATATCAGAAGTCTGAATTTAATGCTAATTAAGTAGCTTTGTTTTAAAAGGAGTTGATCTGTGGTGACATCAATATGTCATGGACTCACTTGACAAGACATCAAAATAATGGTTTGATTTGTCAGTGCTGAAGTATTTATGACACTTGGTTCCCTGATAAAGACACTCGGCCAAAAAAATGTGCAGAATAATCTAAATAAATAAAATCTTGGAGTGATACCTAATTCTGAAATTGTCATTGTTAATTTTTGGTGAATTTTATCATGTTCTTTATGATACTATTTTAGATCAGGATATTCTCTATGACATGAAATCAGAAAATTCAATTCAAAATATTGTATAAAAAAAACCATTGCGAAGAAAGCTAATCAAAAATGGGTAATCTTAGACGTTCGTGCCTGCAAAAAAAATGGAGTGTCAAAAGGATGTTTTTCCTTGACACTGCTATTAGTTTAACTACCTTCACTCCTTGGCAATGTTTGTTTTAAAGAGTGATGGTTAGAATGGTAATAAAACTTAAACATAGATGATGAAAGTGAATTTATGCATTTCTTTCGTTCTTGTGATTTTACAACAAAAATAATAAACCGTATTTATTAGTTTGCTTATTTACACTTTATGTTGTTTATTTGAACGGTTGGCAAAACATTGCTTAATCACCAATTAATTCAAACTTTATAAAATCTATATAAATAAAGCGCAGCATACTTGTGTCCATCTGTCTGTTTTTCAATCTCGGCGAATCATAATCTAAAGTGACAGGTAGTAACTACTTTAGTTACACGCAATTAAAAATTAAATAAATAACTCATTTAAAGTTAAATATCGAATAGAGTGAAAGGTTTAAAAAAAAACAACTCTTTACTAAAGGTTTAACTTTAATTTCACATTTCATCACAACTGCAACTGACATCATCTAATTAAACTGTAATTAAAACTTATATGGGGTACAGTATGTTGCTCATGTTTTCGTTTTTTTTTCCTAGCACACGTATTGTGGCATATTTGAAATATTACATAGTTTGGGTTCCCTAATGTCTTTAAAGATTGACTTTATCTGAAAGGATCATAAAAAAAAAATCATGATTTTAAAAGAAAATAAAAATTGCGTGCAAAATAAATGTAAACAAACTACAGATTGGTTGTGTGTACAAAGAATGATTATGCCAAATTAAGGTGCTGAATAAAGATAAAAATAATTTTATTCTTTCTAAATTCTTATAACTTTTACGTATATAGGATGATGAAGCCCCAAAGCCTTCCACAGGAACTAGCTCAAAGGGCAGCTTCTAGGCTAGTAGCAAATATTAAGAATTTCCTTTTTGCTGGTTCACGTATTTTAATAATTTAAGAAATGTTAATAAATTTAGGAATGAAAATAGTTTTCTTATTTATTTCTTTTCTTCATAAATTGGTAAATGATAAATATTGCATTAGTTTTAATACAATTGTATTAGTTTTTAGAATGTTATTAATATAAAATTATTCTTGTAAATAAATAATTTAATCTAATGAATAGTGTTTAATTATAATTTATAAATAATAAAAATATTTTCTCGAGTTCAAATCACTTAAAAATCCTTAATACCTTTGCTACTATTAATTACTACTCTATCACTATTTCCATGGAAAGTGCTCAGCTGAACTAGATTCTTTAGTTCCACCAGTTTTAACTTTCACAGCTAAGATCTGCCATGCCACACACATTATAGCGGACTACTCTCATTCCCTTAGTGAAGTTTAAGCTCTACTTAAACAGCTTCTTCCCATGAACTGCTACTTTATGGAATTGACCCCCAAGAAAATGCTTCCCCAATCACTACAATCTTAACCTGTTTATGTCTACAGTTAACCATTATCTTCCCCATATATCCTCATAAACTTTGCCTCTTACACTGTAACCCTCTACCTCGAGTGACCCTCAGACCTTGTATAGGATGAACATTATTGTTAAAACAAAAAGCTATTACTTACTTATTAGTAAATAAATTGTTGTTGGCTTTATCTTGTATCCAAGAATTTAATTTCTTCTTTGCTAACCGCCTCCTTTATGATGATGGTGTTGGTGACTAAATCCGCCGCCAATGTGTAGGTTCAGGACTAGAAGCTTCCAGTTTCATCAAACCCTGCTCCCATCATCCATTCCTTCTCGTCATTTGTCTTTGCAAGTGTTGGTTTGGAAGTTAAAGAAAATCAGAGTGGACAAGCTTAGTCTGGGTGCTTGTCTTTGTCCTTGCCACCAAGGTAGCCTTACTAGGAGATTAAAACTCCTGACAGCATTGTTTTCAGTGTCACTGGACCATGCAAGCCCCTCCACCATGACAGTGTATGTTCCTCTTTGTATGTACTTCTAAGTAAATAATATTGTGTGAATAATTGGAAGAGGAGTCTTGCTTAACCATGATTTGGGCCCCTTTTTAATCATTAAAGTTTTTTGTGGATGAATGTGTTATTAATTTAAAATGAACTACTGGGATGAGAGTTCAAGTTTTGTTAGAAACTATTTCTTTTTTCTGACCTAGTATGATTTAAATGGTTATGGCGAAGATTGACTGCTGGGGTGAAATGCTTAGGTAACGGCCACAGACTCTACAGGAGAGATTTTGAACAGTTTTTGCATCAATGCCCACTTTCACATGGAAAAATTTTCCACCACCCACCTGTATAGTAAATTTTCAAAAGCAAATCAAAATCTTTTGGTAAAAGTTTGTTGCTGGTTCATAAACTGACTTTATGATGTAGTAAAAATTACCACAGAAATAACACTGACTTAAGCAGCTACTACTGCAGTTATCATATTGTGTGAACAAATGAAGGCAAAATTGCCCATTAAAAACTATATATATATATATATATATATATATATATATATATATATAAAGATATTTTTGTAGGTACAAAATTTAATGATCGAAATAAAAGTATAAAATTTAATATTACAAGACATATTAAAACAATATTAAATAATAAAAAAACTCAACAACAAAGGGGGAATCAACGGTTTTAAGCTTCCAGGGAGATTCAAAATTAAAACAGAAAAATGTACAATAAGAATAGGTGGAAAAAAATATATATATATATATATATACGTTATATATATATACCATATTAATTCAATTGTTTACAAGAAGGAATTAGAGGCAGATTTAGTCCCACCAAATACTAGGTTGTTTGCAAAAGAAGGCTTTGGTTCCTACTAAAATTAGAAACCAGACCCTGCCTTTGAATGGACTCGACCGGGCCAACACGGTGAATTCAGCCATATATATATATATATATATATATATATATATATATATATATATATAGATGTTTGTATATATGCAAGAAGGAATTAGGGCAGATGACAGCGACGAGTCCAGTCAAAAGGCAGGGGTTTGGTTTCTAATTTTAGTAGGGACCCGTTGTAAAGTGCCCTATGAACCTTTGGATGAAATACAAGTGTACCCGGGTAAACAATTGAATTAATATGGTGGGGACTAAATTTGGCTGCACAATCTATGCTATTTATATATATATATATATATATTTTTTTTTTTCCACCTATTCTTATTGTACATTTTTCTGTTTTAATTTTGAATCTCCTGTGGAAGTTTGAAGAGTTCTTGGAGCAAACCGTTTGTTTCCCCCATTTGTTGTTGAGTGTTTTATTATTTAATATTGTTTTAATATGTCTTGTAATATTAAATTTTATACTTTATTTCGAGATATATATATATATATATATATATATATATATATATATATATATAAATTCTTGAAGCTATATACATAAAACAGTTGAAACCTAACCTGAACAAAATAAACTATTAAATCTCCACAAATATTCTTAAATGCCTATAATTGGTAACAGAAGCCATTGGTTTATACCAACGGCTTCCCATACTTAATACTTCTCGTTTTCACCCTCGCGTGGTCATGTGTGACGTTATGAACTGCGGTGTGATTTTCGCTTCCAGCGTCTTGTATGCATGAGTTTGTCATTGCTTGGAAATCTTCCATGTAAACAGAAACAGACTGTCATCATTGTTTTTTCCGTGTATTGCTTAATATATTGTAATGTAATTGTCATCTTTCATAATGCCTTATGTAAGCTGAAAGCTTAGATAGGATTAAAAAATATGTATCAATATTGTGATTTTCTTTCTTTGTTTAATGATAATGTTATTAAACTTATCAGACGATATGAAAAGAATTTACATAAAATAAATAGACAACACTTACCTATATTATTTAATGAAACATGCATCAATATAGATATATATCTATATAAATTTTAGTTTTATGGTAAAGGTTAGTTTTACGGTTAGGGTTAGTGTTGCAAGTGTTGACGAAAAAAAGTTTTTTGTTCATAATTATAAAATTAAAAAGAATCTACACTACTAACAACTAATAAAAATTTAGTGAATGTTTTTTTTCTTGTTCTTGGTCTTATCTGATTTATATCTGAAAAAAATGTTATTTCATCTGAAGAACTATTTGAAGGTTAATAACTCCTTCACAAAACTATACAAAATATCAAAATATTTGTTGGGGTTATTTATATCTTATCTAGGAATGTTACCCAGTTATTCCCGTTAATCTCATTTTTTTTTTTTTTCGTTTATATATAGGTTCTTTGTATATCTCCTTTGAATATATTTTTTCAGGTAACATATGTTGTTGAAATACTTTTTTAACACTCAAAATCCTATATTGCCCACCAATATTTCTAATTTTCCATCATTTTCTGTTCAGCTGCTCATTATCCACCCAGCAGTTGAAATCGCCTACCAGTGGGTGATATCACCCAGGTTGTTCTACCTATGCTAAAGTTTTAGTTCTAATAAAACTTGATTTTTATTTTTTTCTTGTTATTTTGAATCTGTGAATAAAATTATTTAATGTTTGATTTTGTGTATTTATTATAAATTTAATAATCTTCTTTTTCAGCCTATATTCACAATTCCTGGTCGTACGTATCCAGTTGAAATACTTTATACAAAAGAATCTGAGACTGATTATCTTGATGCTGCCATGATTACTGTCATGCAAATACATTTAATGGAACCGCCAGGTAAGTAAAACCAGATATGTTCTTTTTTTGTTTTTTTACTACTAAAATTCTCCTAATAAAAGGCTCTCGGGTCACTTAAGGTTAATGCTAAAATGGTTATGATGAAGTAGTTGTGTGATACAAATGAAAGAGGAGGTGGTAGGAAGTGAAGGTTATAAGGATAGATAATAATTGACTCTTGATTTAAAGATGTTGAGATTGTAGAGTTCATGGAAACACCCACATGGAAGTCTGTCCCACAGAGTAGCAGCTTTTGGAAAAAGATATCTTAGTTAAATTTTATCCTTGCATTTGAATTTTTTTTTTAATCAATTCACTCCAAGCAAGACAATAATATCACTAAGATGCAAAGGGCTACTGGGAATGAAAGAGAATGAAAATACTTTAGAAGGAACTGGAAACAAGGAATAAACCTCTACTCCTATTCTGAAGTCCCTGGAAGAGTGTGAACTGGATGACATCACCTGCCAACAAGGACATCCTTGGTCATGGTCACTAATTAGTGTAACATCTTTTGGCCATTGCCTACACCTGGTGGTGTAACCACATTTAGTGGTCTGGTCATCAGAATCTTAGGACAACATTCTAACCATGGAACAAACTCTATGCTGGTCAATGCTGACGCTGGTCCAAGCTGCTTGTTGGTTGTTGGCCACTTCAATCCACACTAGCTCTGCCTACATTGTATTCTTGATCTCAGAGCAGTGGAAGATCACATGTCGTCATAATGGCAGCACTGGTTCAAGCTGTGACAGAGGCTACATTAAGGAAGAAAAATATCTTCATGATGAAATATAAAACAAGAGATTGATGGGGTCAATCTTCAATTGGTTTATATAGCTCTTGGTACAACATAAATGAATCTCTATAGTGACACTAGGCCTTGTCTAAACTTCTGGAGGAGCTGGGTTCAAAGTTCTTGGAATCAGGAAATCTGATGACAGCTCATGTGGATTTTAGAGTCTCTTGATGTGGCTTCTCAGCCCAAGTCTCTGAGCTCCCAAAGTCATCTGCTTATGTGCACATCGGCTCAAAACTGGCATGGGTTGACCCTAAGCCTCACATTACTCCCAATAAACGTTTTCTTTGTTCCCTATTTCTGCTTTCTTAATCAACTTTCCAAATTTGGAGAATTGTCTATCTTCTTTGGATATAGTCACTGGGATTGCTCCTCGCTTAGCTCCAACTTGTTTCACTTCACATCTTGCAACACCACTGGGACTGAATTCTGCCTCTTCCTCCTTCGTTTTCAGTATTCTAACTCTGCCCACTTTTCAGGACTGGTATAACTGGCATAACTTTGTGACAAATCTAATTTTAAAAGTGCGTAGGTGAAAGAGGGTAGTTTATTCTCCTCATTAATTTCATTTCTCTGACTCTCTTCCACTTTCCGATTATTACATCTGTCCAGTGAGAACACAAACTAGACCACTGCTTTTCATTTTAACCTTCCGAGGGATAGATAAAAATTACTTCCCAATTTGTTTTTGTCAACAAAAATATATTTATTTACCTAAATTCTCAACAAAGAGACATGCTGTTCTTGGGCTAATTGCCGTCTTAGCAAAAACATAAACCAGACCACCTGCCTGTTATGATGATTGATTTTCATAATCCTAATCCTTGCAGCAGGTTCATTCCCTGTTTTCATTTCTCAATTCATTTTCACCAACGAAAATATAATTCCTGTCTGCCTCTCTTCTTGCCAACTTTTTTTTGAAGTTTTAAGTTTTTCTCATTTCCAAAGAAAGAGATAAACCCATTTCCCCAAATCTGTTTTCATCCACATTTCAGACTCTAGATAGATAAGGAAAAGTAACTCTTGGTGCATCATTCCAATTTATAGGAGTGAGACAATCCAGGTGGCCCTTTTTTTATTTCTACTTTACCAGGGATAATGTCTTCCATTATCTCTCTCTCTCCCCAAGTTTATAACCCTTTTTCTGCTTAGAATTAACATTTAACCACCTCAAAGCCTCAATGTTACAAACCTATTTACTCCTATTAAGGAGAAAAAAATAGTAAATAAAATTTCAGAGTTCAGGTGGACACATTAGAAGTATAGAGTTGAAGTAAACTTTATAAGGAACCGAAAATCCAATCCTAAACAGGAAACAAAAGATAAAACTTTTACTTCTGTGCAAAAGATTGGAGAGAAGTGTGAACCAGGTGATAGGCAAACCTATCTACTCCTATTGAATATGGAGGAAATAATGAAGATATTGTTGTTATGAATGCTACTCAAATAAAAAAACTTGTTGAAGAAAAAAGTAAATAAAATTTTTAGTCAATTTAATTAATTCTCAGAGCCTTTTGTTGTATTTCACTGGATTGGCACTGTCGTCTCAAGAGCTTTAGAAGTCTCCCCAAATGACAATAGGCCCCAAATAAAATAGTTTGATAGCCTCTGTCTATTCCATTTTGTGCAGATGTTTCCTTTACAATATCTTGAAGCTCAATGAGTTAAAACTCTCAAATTATTTCTTTTATTTAGATTTTCTTTTTCTATTTTGTCAGGGATTGTGCTTCAAAAATACTGGTGTCTGATTTGTTGATTCTAAGTAAAAATCTTTTTAAACAACAAAAAAATAAAGTAGGTTGGTTGTAAAACATAAATTTTTTGTGTATAATTTTTCAGGTGACATTCTGCTATTTCTTACTGGTCAGGAAGAAATTGACACAGCCTGTGAAATCTTGTACGAACGAATGAAAGCACTTGGTCCAGAAGTTCCTGAACTTATTATTCTTCCTGTGTATAGTGCATTACCAAGTGAAATGCAAACACGTATTTTTGAACCAGCTCCACCAGGATCAAGAAAGGTAAACCATTGACTTTTATTTCTTGTTGAACTGTTTCACAAACTTTCTTTTTGGTTTGCATTGTTTATTATTAAAGACTGAAAGAATCGGTTTTTCATCATTAAGGACTGAAAGAATCGGTTTTTCATCATTAAGGACTGAAAGAATCGGTTTGGTTTTTCATCATTAAGGACTGAAAGAATCGGTTTTTCATCATTAAGGACTGAAAGAATCAGTTTTTTTCGTTAAGGACTGAAAGAATCAGTTTTTTTCGTTAAGGACTGAAAGAATCGGTTTTTTTCATTAAGGACTGAAAGAATCGGTTTTTGTCGTTAAGGACTGAAAGAATCGGTTTTTGTCGTTAAGGACTGAAAGAATCGGTTTTTGTCGTTAAGGACTGAAAGAATCGGTTTTTGTCGTTAAGGACTGAAAGAATCGGTTTTTCATCATTAAGGACTGAAAGAATCGGTTTTTCATCATTAAGGACTGAAAGAATCAGTTTTTGTCGTTAAGGACTGAAAGAATCAGTTTTTGTCATTAAGGACTGAAAGAATTGCTTTTCAAAATATTAACACTGATAAGGTTTGTATGAAAAAAGTGAAGTTTAATAATAAAAAAAATGCTTTTTTATATAATTATTTCTTAAATTTAATTTAGTATTAGATGAAGCCAATAGATTGAGGAAGTGAAATTGATTGACGTTGTTCCGCTAATCTTGTTAGTGAAGAATGTCAGCTCTGCTTTTCAAATGAACTTGTGAAATCCTGGCTTTTACCACTGACTTCAGCTACAGGTGGGGGAAAAAATGGCTACTATTTAATTAAGCAAACAGGCTGCAAGAATTCATCTTTTTTGTTACGCTTTTGCTGCTGTGGATTTATTTATACATCTTTATAAAACTTACATTGCTTGTTGCCAACATAGATACATATTTCCAAGAGGCCTTAAAATGTCGTCCCTTTGTGTTTTCGTTATGGACTAGCCTGCACTTAGTATTATTTTCAAACCAGAATAGACATATAGTAGCTTGCAGTATGTCCTTGTTTTGTGACATTGCTGTTGTTGTCTTTTTTGGCATTTATTTCTAGTAAATGGCAATATCCTATTTCTTCCAAAATTGGCCAGCACAGCCAGGCAGCAATGTTATAGTATAATCATTCAATAATTGGAAGAGAAAAAGACAGTGTTTAGGAGTTCTTTTTGAAATAGATGGAAAATATCTTGGAATATTTTTTTTTTTGTCATTACTGAAGCAACATTCAGTTAATAAAAAAAATAATTTTGAGATAATAAATTGTAGAGATATCAGGGATGAATTAATGAGATTTGAATTTTCTCATTTGATTCCAACTTTTATGATTTTTCAATGGGTTTGTAGTGATAGAAACAAATACCTTACTAAATAACCCCCAACCCTTATTATTAGACTATGTAGTAATTTGTAACCAAAATAATTAATAATGAAAGAAAAATTAAAAGTTAAGCAATAAAAATACTTTAAAATACAGATAAGAATGGTAAGTAACAATAAAAGAATAAAAGTTCCATTTGAAAAAAAAAATGATAGGGTCCCAGCTATGGGTAAATAGTAATCCCCATCTACCAAACAAATCTCAACAGGTCATTTTAATAGTAAAATTGTCAAGAATGTATTTTTATAGCAAAATGGCAATCCGTGCAATACTAAAAGTATAAAAATACATTTTTATAAAAGAAATTACCAACAGTACATTTTATGATCTATAAGCTATATATCTAAACATACCTTTATCTGAAAATATAAAATTGTGTCCAAAATTTTTAATTTTTGGTCATAGAGATGTTTATATGCTGCTGAACAAAATTCATTATCTGATCCTAAGTAAGTTTTTTTTTTCCATTTTTCTTAAAATTTTCTCATTGATCTATCTCTGGTATTCTCCACATCCATTTAGATTGTTAAATAAGTTTAAAAAGATAAAAATATCAATCATGGCAGTGATTTCTAAAAGAGTTTAGTTTAGCATTTAAAGGTGAAAGTGAAATCATTCATTTTCATTATTGTTTGAAATCAATTCATATCTGAAAAGAAATAAAGATTGGATGAGTGAAAAGAAAGAAAGGATCCTAAATATTGAAATGATTGAAAATTCATTTTTTTTGTTTCTTTTAAATTTTGGAAATTCTTTCAAGATTTCTTCCTTGTCATTATTTTTTCTAGGTTGTCATTGCTACCAATATTGCCGAAACGTCTCTCACGATAAACGGAATCTACTATGTGGTTGACCCTGGATTTGTTAAACAGAAGGTTTATAATTCAAAAACAGGAATGGATCAACTTATTGTGACTCCCATATCTCAGGTAAATAACACAGAAGGACAATTTCTTAGATATTCAATCACTTCTTGTTTTCATTGGTCATTTATTTTATGAAACACCCAATTATAGAAATGAAAATATTTGAATTGAAATCATTATGTAGTATTTAAAATTTTAATGCTCTTTGACCTTTTAATGTTTTATGTTTAGTAATTTTAAAAATAACCATTTCATGTTGAGCATAACAATAAACAAAATATTACATTTTTATATATATATATATATATATATATATAGGTATATATATATATACCCACAGACAGCCTGTTTCGCTGTATCATATATATATATATATATATATACACACACACCCACAGACAGCCTGTTTCGCTGTATCACGTATATATATATATATATATATAGGGGGGGAAAAATGTATGACACAGTGAAAAAAGGTTTCTTGTGACGTGTTTCCTCCTTTATGACTTCATTTGACTACTGTGATGTTTATATTGATGCGACTACATAGGTGCATGAACAAAGGATGCTGGGAATTTTAAATTCTTTTTTCTTATCTGGAGGGGGGGGGATGAAAAATTTAAATTTAAATTCCCAGCATCCATAACTTTACTTGGGACATGTTTCGTCTTTCAGAACTTCATTAGATTAAATTTGTTATGTTGGTACAACAACACATGCACATGAACGAGGGGTGCTGGGATTTTAAAATTTTAATTTTTTTTTATAATTTTTTTATTTTTTATTTATTTATTTTTTTATTATATCTACCTGAATTCATTTAGAGTTTTTTTCTCTTTTTTTTTCTATCACTTTTGTTAGTAGGTATCCAACACTGAGCTTGAAAAGTGAGGAAAAAAAAGGGAAAGAGACCATTTTTATCCCTGACCCCAGTGGATGTGTACCATAAATCGATGTCATTGATTAAATAAATCCTTAATATTTGTTGTAGCATACCTATAGACAATAATAGGTATGTCCTCATTCACATAAACACAGTGGTAAATGTTGGTTTGAAGTTGGAGATTCATTGTGGAATTCACTATCCTCACTTCTAGCAGATGACTACTGCTTCTATGTGTTATAGTGGAACACACCTATTCTATAGTTAATAGACTCTCCCACCTATAATAAGTAGGAGTAGTAAGAGCAACGAGGCAGTCGCTGAGTGGGTCGGTCAGTGAGTTGATGCCAGACGACCACTAGTCGGATACTAAAGCATCAGCAACTACAACTAGATTTCTCTGCGTTATACTTATTATATGAAGTTCCTAACGTTTTGTATGTCGAACCTATTTTAGGACCAACTTAGTATGAATACAAGCCTGCACTGTGAAATCACTCCATAACACTATGCATTGATGGCGAATCTCATATGTGTTGTTCTTGTCCTAAGTATTATCATTCATTACCAACCTGCATGTGATTATTTTATTCAGTCACCTTCTCTAGGTTACAATAATATTACTACAAACTTTAATTTTTGTTATTTCTTAAATATTTTTTAATTTGGTAAAATTTCTGTGTCTTGCAGGCTCAAGCAAAGCAACGTGCAGGGCGTGCTGGGCGTACCGGCCCAGGAAAGTGTTACCGGTTGTACACGGAACGTGCGTACCGAGATGAAATGTTGCCAACAAACGTTCCTGAAATTCAACGCACAAATCTTGCCAGTACAGTTTTGTCGCTAAAAGCAATGGGAATAAATGATTTATTATCGTTTGACTTTATGGACGCTCCTCCAATGCAGACATTAATCTCAGCCATGGAACAACTGCATGCCCTTAGTGCTCTCGATGATGAGGGACTACTTACAAGACTTGGACGAAGAGTAAGTCATTTGGGTAGATTTACAAAATAAATCACTTTTTTTTTTTTTTTTTTTTAGTTGAATTCAATGGTGATAAAAAAAGGAAAGATTAGATATTTGAGCCTATTATTCTTTAACCCTTTGTTATTATCCTGGCGTGTTTGAACACTACCATAAAATACCTTAATATTTATCAAGTGGCAAGTCATCTTTTAATGATGAGTCAAGTAACTTTCTGAATAACTCAAATAACAAAGTTTCTGGTTTTAGTCATAATATTTGTGTGAATTACAAGCAAATGACTGTAAATTAGTAGTAATATAAGCTTTTACTGACCTTAAAATGAAGGATAGATTTTCTATTGTTACTATGTAATAAACTGATACCCCAGATTTATTACATACTGGCATAATAATTGTAAAAATATTTTAACCATTCCTTAATACTATGGGGTGTTTGAACAGCTCACAGAATGTTTAACAAGTGGCAAGTCATCTTTTCATGATTAGTTATCACATCCCATATCCAGACTCAAGAGAGTATCTATCCAGTTGTTCGTTTCTTTCATGGGACTGTTTGATGTCTGTTGGATTTTAATTTCATTGGACTGATTTCAAATTCAACAGACACCAAATGACTCCATAAAACAAACAGGTAGACAGACACTCTTGAGTCTAGATATTAGATGTGATAAGGTAGCCTAATTTAATTTGACTTATGGTCCTCCATTTATCCTCAGAGATCCCAAGGCATTTTCCTTACATATACTTTTCTTTCTTTCTTTCTTTCTTCCATTCTAACCTGAAGAAGCCAAAAAGAGCAGATGCTTTCAGTGAAACGTGTCATTTATAAATTTTCTACTTTCTCTCATCATCTTCACTTTTGTTTCATATACTACTGGGTACCCCACAAAAAATCAAGAAATTTGGTTGAGTTTATTTAATTATCAGAATTTTTGTTACAGATATTTGAAACAAAAGAAAAGGATAGATACTTAGTAGCTTAAATCAGAACAAAAATACAAATGTTTGATGTGGCGTTCAAACTAAAGAACTCTGGCATAATTTCTTGGCATTTTTTTCAGTCCCCAAGTTGGATGTTCTTTCTTAAAGAGAACAACCACTTCGCGTTGAAAATTTGATAATGATTAAAATATTTATATGTTAGTTTGTTTTTGTTTTTTTTAGTTCAATAACTAGTAAAATATACAGTTAATTTTTTTTTTATATTTTATTTAATTTTTGTTCCTCATATAGTAAATCTAAAATTTCCTGTTTTTTTTGTGTCACTGTATTATACATCCTACAAACACACACACACGATGTACATAGAATTTGTGTTCTCTTCAATATCAGAAGGCTGAAATTTAATATTAGTTAACCCTAGAAAGCTTGTACACAAAAACTGATTTATAAAAATGATACCATGTGGTCATCTTTACCATTGTAGTTTCACAGCTATTCACCAGCTGGAAGTGATGTTTAGTATCCTATGTACTATCAACAGGCATTTGTGGACTGCAGGAGATTTTTCTTGCAGTTTGGAGAAATCACTATCCTATATGATAGAACATGTGTCTTAGGATTAAGGTGAACTATAGAAGATAAAAAGATAATAAGATAATCTGGTTTCAATAATAAACACATTGATACATCACCCAAAGAAATATAGATTATTGAGTCAGTGACTGGAAAGTTGATTAAAAAAGGTCAACAAGGAAGGCCATCTTGTTCAGCTAAGACACTTTCGGATATATTTTTTGTTTTATATCAATGGACTTACACAACCATGTGATCTGTGACTCTTATAATTTTATTGTTTACTTTTGAGATTATTATACCAAGATAGCTAGAATAAATAAATAGGAAATATATAAAATTAATTGATTATTAATCTTTGGTCTAATTATTTTCAACCCATGTCCGGTTCACACTCCTCCCTGGTCTTTTGGATAAGAGTAGAGGTTTATCTTCCTGTTTAGGATTGGGTTTCTGATTCCTTGTGAAGTCTTTCCATTCTCTTTCACTTCCAGTAGCCCCTTGTGTTTTAGTGGCATCATCGCCTTGAACAAAAAAAAAAAAAACAAATTTCTAATTATTTACATGCAGACTACTCTCTTAATTTTTGTTGGTTTTATTACAATGTTTCGGCCATTGTGTCCTCTAGTCTTTGTCAGATGTATGTCAATCCAGGTCACCTACAGGAAATTCTAAACTGGACCCTTTATTTAATCTCCAGGAGTCAAAAGTTATTGCTTCACTGCCCATATCTAGTGATATCTTGTCCAGTTATTATTTTTAATCTCTCGACATTCCTATGTCAAAATGCAACAAAGTCCATTGGTAATTTTCAATTATATGACTGCCAGGGGTTAAAAAATTGACACCTGCCCACGGAAATCTTTAGTAAAAGGTGAAAGATTTATCTGCAATTCCTGGCCACCAGAAACCAAAAGTTTGTTTTTTTTTTTTCCAAAAATAGCAGCGATAAGGAAAATTAAACCAAATTGACTTTGACATCTCTGGGTCAAAGGTCAGCCAGCTACCAATAAACGTTTAGAACAAGTTTCAATAAAACCCACCACTCCCAGATAAGAGCAAAGAGTGAAAAAAAAAGGGTCAACATTAGTAGGGCTTGATATAACTTATGTTTGAACAATGGCTTGATGTGTTTTGTTTTGTTTTTAACACCCCGCGACCCGGGTGATGACAACAACACTTATCAGATGACATTGTTTTTTTCACTGCATATCTTTTGTATTTGCCATTGCTGGGCCATTTAGCTATTCCTTTTATTCAATGATGTTCATGCTAAATGAAAAACAAAGGAATGAAGTTTGAATGATATTATTTTGAAGTAAAAATAAATATTTTTTCATAAAAAAACGGTGATTTTTTTTTTCAGAAAATTGGGCATAATTTCTTAATGCTAACCACTGAGTGACATTTTCCACAGCCAAATAGAAGATTAATTACCAGTGAATAATTCCATGTGCAAACAATAGCCATCTGAATCCTATAATGTCACCTGAAAAGGTCCAGAAGTTTACTGATTGATCAAAAACTTGTTGCGTATAATTGTGTTTTTCACAGTCAGTTTCTATTATTTCATCTTGATGTTGTCATTTTCAGACAGCCAAGTCTTCAAGGATTCAGGAAAACAGTTTTGCACAGGTTTACTTTAAGAACTTTACATTCTATGAGGTGTTTAAAATGTTACTGACGAATGAGATTTTTCGTCGAATATTTAGTTTACGCGCCATGTGAGATTTTCGTATGTGATAAAAACAAGGCTTTTAAACAGCCATGGTGGAAGCTGAAAGAGGTTTTCTTTGATGAACATAATTTATTCTAATTTTTTGTTTTAAAGTTAAAAATGTAGCAGATGTTATAAATTTAATAGGTCTTCCATTGGATCTTTGGGACTGCAGCAATTCAGTTCAAATGTGGCTAAGAAACCATAACACTGCTGATGACACTAGAGTCAAAAAGCATCAGACTTTTGAAAAGAAATTTGATGAGAACAGAATTTCAATCTGGAAATATCATTAATAAATGTTTTTTTTTATTAAATTGTCAAAAAGGTTTAATTCTTTTTGATATTATAAATTAGTTTGTTTCCATTTTCAGATTGAAAGAAAATAAGCAGAATAGGTTTAAAAAGATTACCTGCCTTTATAGAACTGGTTCCTGGAAATTTGGGATGCCATTATTCATTATACTGAATGCAACTGATCCAATGAAATTTCTAAAATCAACAATATACCAATTAATATACTACTTGGAAAATGTACAACAAATCAGATGACCATTGCAGGTGGCTTTAATAAACCAGTCATCTTCTCAATACAAATTCCAATAATGACCATTGTTGAAAGAAACATTTGGAGTAGGGGTGGGGAGGTAAAAGGGTTAATGACTTATCTGGCTCAGTTTTATAATTAACAGTTTCAAATAATTTATTCTGTTATCATTATTTGATAAAATTGTTGTGTTGCTACGTGTTTTCTTACTTGTGCCAAATAAGAACGAATGATTTGCACCTTTATACATTTTATTTTCTGTTGGATGACAATAGTTTTAAAACCTAACCAGTGATTACTGGTAGATTGATACTTCAAGACATGACATGTGAGAATGCATAAGTACTATCTTTTCATAACTTTTCTTCTCTGTTGTTCTAGAGAGTTCTGATCAAGGGGCATAAGTTGGTTCCCATTTAGGGAGTCAGTTGGCTCCCTTGTCATGATGTCCGTCCTAACAAAAATAATTTGCCTTGAATTTATCTGAAATATTTTATCTTCTCTTGTTGCTCAGATGGCTGAATTCCCTCTGGAACCAATGCTGTCGAAAATGTTGATCATGTCGGTACACTTGGCTTGCAGTGATGAAATTTTAACTATTGTCTCAATGTTGTCTGTGCAGAATGTGTTTTATCGGCCAAAGGTAAATAGTTTCAATTTCTTTAATTTAAATCTCATTTGAAAACTTGATATTTTTACAAACCTCACATACGTTGGTGTAATATCATTTGATGTTTTACTGAATCGTCATTGTGAAACTTATTCAAGTTTTAGCCGTTATTTTTTTCTTTTTCTAAAAAGGATTTTTTTTTATTCAAAATCTAAATTCTTCTCAGAAGAGCAAAAGACATGAAATATGAAACTGTAAACATTTATTTATGCTATGGTATTTAACAGGTTGAGTGTTTGGTGTCTATTGTATATGATTAACAAAGAACAAAAAAAGCATACAAAAACATGGGTTTTTACTAATATTCTTTTTATTAGGTACTTCCACAATTTTGCGATATCCAAGGTTTAATATTAATTAAAAAAAAATGAATAATCTTGAAGCTTTTATTTTAGTTTTAATTCCAAGCTAATAGATTAAATTTGATATTTCTAATAAGCAAAATACTTTGCTGTTATTTCAAAACTAATTGAAATTAATTGGAAGGAGTTTTTGTTTAGAAATTTCTAAAATTTTTTAATTTTGTGCCACTTTTAGCAAACTTATAAAAATGTAAATCTCTTTTATTAAAATATCTTCCAAAAATAAAATATACTTTTCTGAAACTTTATTTGAAGCATATTAGCTGATTTAAAGTGTAATTAATATGATTTTAAACAACTGTTATTTACTTTAAGTTTAAAATATCGCAGAAATGCATTTTTTTTTAACATGGCATTAGATGTTTATTTATGTTGACAACTTTTTAACAGCTCCGTAACAGATTTTTATGTAATGTTGTTTTAGGGGTGGGGGTCTTTAACCCTAAAAAAAATAATTGGAAAATATAATGCTAGTGCTTTTAAGTACTCATTAATCTTAAAAATTTAAGAAAATATTCTCCATAATCTAATGAATTTTAGAGAATTTTAGCCATAAATTTACTGTAATTATTGCGTTTATTTTCAGATAATGTTGTGTATGGATGGCCATATGTACAAAAATCGACATGTTTATCTACATACAAACACAATTCAAAATTTTTTTAAAGAATACTTGGAGTTGTTAGATTGTAATAAACCTTACGATATATGATTAGTAAATATAGTTTTACATAAAAACAGTTGCATCATTGAAAGTGAATTTTAAAAGATTTAAAAACTTTATAAATTAATTTATTTTAATTAAAATTGTAAAAAAAATGAAAACAAATCTTGTAAAAATTCATTTTTAAACAAAAAATTTTTTTCTTAAGACAATATTGTCCTTAATATATATTATTCATAAAACAATTAGAAGATTTTATAATTAAATGTCTTAGTTTTAATGAGTTTTTTCTTTTATGATTCAAAGCATATTTTTGGTAAGATGTGGTCCGATTTTACAAAAAAAAAAATTGTTGGTTTAAATTGTTAAACTTTTAACATAGTTACTAAAAAATTATTTCGCTGAATTTCTCAGATTCTCATAAAATTAAGTGGTGTAAAACACATGTAAAAAAAAAAAAAAATTTCCCAAGATTTTCTAAAAACACATTTCTAAAATAATTTCATGCAATTGTGAATAAATCCCGGAAAGTTTCATTAAAATCCAACAATTATTTGATTTTAACAGGAATTTCCAAATTAATGTCTTTTACTGCAAAAATTATTATTATGCTAATTTATAGTCCATCTGCTGATGCAAGAAAACAAGATTTTTAATCAAAATTCTGAATGTTCTAAAAAGGATTAAAAAATTTAATTAAATATTTAAAAATACATTGAACTTTTCTCTTAATAACAAAGATTTTGATGATAAAACTAGTTTTAGTCAAGTTTGGGGCATTCTTTCATTATAGTATGCTCTTTTTTCAGTGAATTAGTAGAGATACTTACTTTTTATGGTGACTGAAGTTCTTTGTCTCTTGGGTATGTCCATTTTCTTTTTGGTCTGGGACTTAAGGTAAGTATAAGCATTGTATTAATGGTCGAACTCAAGTCAGCCTTGTGCAGTTGGAACAACCAAAAGAAGGTTTCTGCTTACTTTATATTTGGAAGGTTTAAACATAGTTATGGGATTGTTTTCTTTTCCTTGGTCTAGAAGTTAGGGTAAGTAAGCATAAGTATTGTTAAAATGGTTGAGCTCAAGTCAGCCTTGTGTGGAGTTGGAACAACCAAGGAGAATGCTTGACTTTATAGTAAGAGGTTTTTGGAAGAAACATGCAAGTGCTATGTTGGAAAGTGGGAAGAGAATTCAGGTCTCAGTGGACCAGGAGGAACTAATCTGGTACTACATCTTGAAGCAAAAGGTAAAAAGAGAATAAGGCAGAAAAATGTTTGTCCTTTTATAGACTCCAACAGCGCCACCTAACAGTGTTGGTGAAAGTAATTGGGGTAATCATATTCCCAGTTCCTTTACCCTCATGGGGAAATATATTTCTTTTTTTTATTATTCATTATTATTATTATTCATTATTATTATCTCTGAGATGAGATATTATGATTACTTACCTTATTTACATTATTCGGGCTGTTATTCTCATCTTCATTGCCATATTCACAAGGACACATGGCCCAGTAGATAAAGACATTGGTTAGAACCTGTGACAGGCTTCTAGTGATATAATGGCTGTCTATATCTCTGAGATGAGGTATTATGATTACTTAGATTATTTACATTATTTGGACTGTTATCCTCATCTTCATTGCTATATTCACAATGCTTCGGAAGCACCATACAATCAGCAAAGTTAAGCAGCATTGAGTCTGGTCATTACCTAAATGGGTGACTGCTTGGGAATACCAGCTGCTGTAAGCTTGGATGTGTGGGTGGTGTAATGGATAATGGCTCAGAATTGTTAATAGGAGAGCAGAGTTCCAATTCCTGTTAGGTTCGTTATATTCACTTACATGCAAATACCCTAGAAGATAGGTATGAATCCACGTATTCTCCCTGCCAGGTATAAGTAAATTAATAAGACTTTTATTACTAAATCATTATCTCAAAAAAAAAAAAAATTCTTCCACTCTAAAAATATTTTCTGGCTTTAAATAACCTGCAAAGGATTGATAAGCTATAGACAATGAATTAATCAGTGAAATACTGTTCAGCTACACAGGCTTGTCTTAGATTTATTTACATTCTCTGGAATATAAATGTACAGAAACTAGAGTGGCCACAAAGTGAGGGGTCATCACCAATTGAGTATGACACAGAATTGATCCCTCACTTTATATCCGCATTTTAATTTCTTGTCGACATGTCTTTTAGATTTATTTACATTCTCTGGAATATAAATGTACAGAAACTAGCGTGGCCACAAAGTGAGGGGTCAGTTCATCAATTGAGTATGACACAGAATTGATCCCTCACTTTATATCCGCATTTTAATTTCTTGTCGACATGTCTTTTAGATTTATTTACATTCTCTGGAATATAAATGTACAGAAACTAGCGAGGCCACAAAGTGAGGGGTCAGTTCACCAATTGAGTATGACACAGAATTGATCCCTCACTTTATATCCGCATTTTAATTTCTTGTCGACATGTCTTTTAGATTTATTTACATTCTCTGGAATATAAATGTACAGAAACTAGTGTGGCCACAAAGTGAGGGGTCAGTTCACCAATTGAGTATGACACAGAATTGATCCCTCACTTTATATCCGCATTTTAATTTCTTGTCGACATGTCTTTTAGATTTATTTACATTCTCTGGAATATAAATGTACAGAAACTACTGTGGTCACAAAAAATGGATTCTCAAAAGGATGGTTTTTTCCTTGAGACTGCGATTATCTTAACTACCTTCATTTCTTTGCCAATGTTTATTGTTTAAAAAAAAAAAATGATTAGAATTGTAATAAAACCTAAACATCTGATGAAAATGAATTTAAACTTTTTTGTTCTTTAGAATTTACAACAAAAATATTAAACATTATTTATTTATTAGATTGTTTATTTACAAGAATAATTTTATATTTACTGCATCCTAAAAACTAATAGAATGCAATATTTATCATTTACCAATTTATGAAGAAATAAATGTAAAAACAATTTTTTATTCATCAATTTATAAACATTTACTAAATTATTAAAATATGCAAACCAGTTATAAGGAAATCCTTATTAATGTATTTGACGGCATATAAGACGCACCCCAATTTCCGCAGGGCAAATCAAGAAAAAATTAGTAATTAGTAAAATTATTAGTAAATGGTACAAACTAGGCTATATTTATGAGCTATTATTTTGGTTAAACAAGCCAGGATTACAATTAAACGAAAAATGATAAGAAAAAAGAACACAAGCCTATAAAAACTTTATTATATCCAAAGGGAAAAAAACAAAATAAAAATCAAGCAATTATTACAATTGAGCAAAACAGTACAGTTAACATTAAAATGTTATCCATCTTCAAATCCATAAAATTTGTTGTCTTCATTATCAAAATCCTGATACTTATTTTCAATACTACTATCATTGTCGTTAAATAATGCGTCATCTAATTTCGGTCGACTATCATGAATTTTAAACCTACATGTAAGATGCTGGGGAATTTTAAAAGATATTTTTAGTTAAAAAAAAAAAAAAAAGGTGTGCCTTATATGCCATCAAATATGGTATTTACCATTTTATAAAGTTCGAATCAATTGGCAATTAGCCGATGTTTTGCCAATCATTCCAATAAATAATATAATAAATGGTGTTTATTGTTTTTGTTGTCAATTCTCAAGAATCTCCCAAAAATGTATAAATTTTTTTTCATCATATGTTTGGGTTTTATTATAATTCTAATCATGGCTTTTTAAAACAATAAACATTGTCTGATCTTGAAAGTAGTTAAAGGGGAAAAAATGTCACGAGAAAAACCATCCTTTTAATATTCCGTGTTTTTTTTTTTTTTTTTTTGCAGTCACAAAGGTTGAATTTTTTTTTATTTTATTTTTTTTATCGATGCTAAATTCTTGAAAACCTTTCCAACTGATTGCATGAATGAAGAATTCTGATATTTTTGGTTGTTCTGTTATGATGAAATGCCTTTCTTAATTTTCTTTTTTGATTGAATATTAATTTTCACGTCTTACTAATTATTGATATATTTTTTTCTTCTTGAGGACAAACAAGCCTTAGCTGACCAAAGAAAAGCCAAATTCCATCAGCCTGAAGGTGACCATTTGACATTACTGGCTGTCTATAACTCATGGAGAAACAATAAATTCTCCAGTCCATGGTGCTATGAGAACTTTGTTCAGATCCGAACATTGAAACGAGCTCAGGATGTCCGCAAACAAATGTTAGGAATTATGGACAGGTAACGTTAACTACGACTTTTGTGTGCATTCTGTTTTGTCTTTTAAAAAGAATTTAATATTTCATTTTATTATTTAATATTTCATTTCATTTCTTATTTTTTCTCAGACACAAATTGGATGTGGTGAGCTGTGGCAAACATACTGCACATGTGCAAAAAGCTATTTGCAGTGGATTTTTCCGAAATGCAGCCAAAAAGGATCCTCAAGAAGGTTACAGAACTTTGGTTGACAGCCAAATGGTTTATATCCATCCATCAAGTGCTTTGTTCAATAGACAACCTGACTGGTAAGCCATTTTGTATTTACAATTATCCTTTGTGATCCAGTGGATTAATTTATGATTTATTGTTGACCCTTGTTCACATCCCACTATCAGCATCATAATCCTATTCCTTTTCTCTCCCCTGGTAGCAGAGATGGCTGTAAATCAAAGAAAGTATGAAAAGGCCATTCACATGAATTTGCTTTTGATGGCCAACTGTGTATGGTGGAGAAGCCTACACACTTGGCCAGAAGTGCTTCCCTCGTCACTCTAAGGGGATGGAGACAGGTGAGATCTGGAAAACCTGGTTGCATTGGGCTGTCAGATGCTTGGTCTGTCAAGGTCTGCCTTGGGCTGTCAGATGCTTGGTCTGTCAAGGTCTGCCTTGGGCTGTCAGATGCTTGGTCTGTCAAGGTCTGCCTTGGGCTGTCAGATGCTTGGTCTGTCAAGGTCTGCCTTGGGCTGTCAGATGCTTGGTCTGTCAAGGTCTGCCTTGGGCTGTCAGATGCTTGGTCTGTCAAGGTCTGCCTTGGGCTGTCGGATCTTGGTCTGTCAAGGTCTGCCTTGGGCTGTCGGATGCTTGGTCTGTCAAGGTCTGCCTTGGGCTGTCAGATGCTTGGTCTGTCAAGGTCTGCCTTGGGCTGTCAGATGCTTGGTCTGTCAAGGTCTGCCTTGGGCTGTCAGATGCTTGGTCTGTCAAGGTCTGCCTTGGGCTGTCAGATGCTTGGTCTGTCAAGGTCTGCCTTGGGCTGTCGGATGCTTGGTCTGTCAAGGTCTGCCTTGGGCTGTCGGATGCTTGGTCTGTCAAGGTCTGCCTTGGGCTGTCAGATGCTTGGTCTGTCAAGGTCTGCCTTGGGCTGTCGGATGCTTGGTCTGTCAAGGTCTGCCTTGGGCTGTCGGATGCTTGGTCTGTCAAGGTCTGCCTTGGGCTGTCAGATGCTTGGTCTGTCAAGGTCTGCCTTGGGCTGTCAGATGCTTGGTCTGTCAAGGTCTGCCTTGGGCTGTCAGATGCTTGGTTATGCCCGCCCAATTGACGTTGTCCTCTTCCGCTGGGTTTGGCTGTTGACGTCATGTAGATCTCTGCCTATTCTGCCACTGAGGTCTTCGGGGGTTAGTTGCATCCAGTCTAGTCCTTCCTCTTTGATCTTACTGCCATGGCCAGGCCTACAGGTGTTGGAACTCCAGATGACTTCACTCTTGGTATCACTGAGACAAGTACACCTTCTGCCATGACAAGGAATGACATATATATTTTAAACTGGATGTAAATTAAAGTAATAAGTGAAAGTGGTACATTTCATAATGGACTCTTCACTTCGACATCCAATTTATGATTATATTCGATACTTTTATTTTATGAAAACTCTTTTGTGTGATTTAAAAATTATTCATCTCTTATTCGGAGTTCTACAACTGCCCAGAAATCAGTTTTGATGCTTGTTAACTGGGAATCCATTACCCAGACAGAACCTCTTGCAAAAAAGGGTGTAGGCTCATAGGCATTCCCTAATGTCAGCAGCAAAGACTGAGAAAGTTGGGTAATTTTTTTTTTTTTTTTGTTTTTAACAAAAAATATTTTTAAATTTGGTGTTTTTAATTCTAGAGCTGTATCATTCTAGACATTTCAAATTATTTTTCTTTCAAAATAAATTCATAAAACTTTTGAAGATGCAGATATCTTCAAAAGTTTTCTGAATTTATTTTGTTCCTTCAATTGACACTTAAAATGAATTTCTGATTTCTCATAAAATTTTTATATTTTTTCTTTTATTGAAAGAATGAAATAAATGATCTTTTATAATTAAATTTTGCTGATTTTATTCCAACAGGGTCGTTTACCATGAATTAGTGTTGACTACTAAAGAATACATGAGGGAAGTCACTACAATCGATCCAAGATGGTTGGTGGAATTTGCCTGTAAATTTTTCAAGTTCTCGGATCCAACAAAACTTAGTAAACAGAAGAAACAACAAAAGATTGAACCACTCTACAACAAATATGAAGAACCCAATGCCTGGAGAATCTCAAGAGCCTTCAAGAAAGTTCATACAAAAGTCACGTTTTAAAAAAGTTTCAATTTTATTTATGTTGTTCTTAATTTGTGGCCATTACCATCACTGCAAATTGGATTCTTTTTAGAGACAGTGGAAAAAAACTTTTGCATTCATCTGGCTTATCCCAATTTTCCTATTCTCAAGAGAATGATATCCCATAATGATATCCATACAAGATATCTCATAATGATATCCCATAATATCATCAAATATAAATTTCTTTTTTCATCAATTGGCCTCTTCATTATTTTCACTTCTGTGTAGAAAATCTAATTTCTGAAACTTTTTTCCATTTGTAAAATTGACAATAGCAATTTCAGCACTGTCATGTAAATATATTTATAAACCTTATTATTTGTTTTCTTGTATATTTTGTTTGTCTTCAAAAGTCTTTAAAGAAATGGAATTTTTGCCAGAAAGGAATTCTTAAAAAAAAAAAAAGTCTGATTTCATAATTATGGATGCATAACTTTTTATGTCCATTAAAATGAAAAATAAAATAATTAAAAATTTTTGGAAGGGATAAAAATGCATTTTGGTTTGCACAAACATTTGATCAATTGAACTCGACAATTTGAGATTTCAATTTTTGTTTTTGTTTTTCAATATGAATATCAATAATTTTGGAAGGTAAAAAAAATGTTCACATTTCATTCCTAGCTAAACCATTGCAATCTTTCTTGCTGGACTTGTAATAAAGTTTGAGAGAGAATTTAAGACTGGCAATTACCCCCCCCCCATTCCCATGCACACACACGCACACAAACAGGACAGCAAGAAATCAGTTAAAAAACGTGAATTATGAGAAATGTGCAAAATCATATTTTGTCAATATTTTGAGCAAATAAAGCTCAGAATATTGACAGTTTCTCTCTCTCTGTCTCTCTCTGTCTCTTTCTATCTCATTATTTTATGATAGAGAAAACAAGAGAGAATACTCTGAAACAAAGCCAATGCATAGTTGTTGAAATTGGATCATTCATGGCACTTAATGCTTTTCCTCTTAATTGGTATCCTTCCAAAATTTAAAAGAATAATTCATTGATTATTTCTTTTGGAAATCAAATGAATACAGACCCAATTTCCCATTCTGACTAACGGATAAAATTGCAATTAAAAAGGATAACAAAGTTTTTAAAATGTTGGGCTTCCTTTTAGGATGATTTCAGTTATACAGGAATTTGAATTTGGCTGATGAAATCATCAGAAATTATGAAAACATATTCAAGAGGAAATGACATCATTTTAATTGACAAAAAAAATGGAATTCTTAAATTCAATATATATATATATATATATATATAGGCACAATTACGCAAGATATAATTTAGCATTTTCCCAATCTACATGTCTGGACAAAGAATCAATCAGTTAGTGCCATGCATGATACATGCTTAGGCGATTATGTATCTTTCAATACATGACTGACGAGGCAGATTTTTTCCTGCAGTTGCCATTTCTTTCTGCAGTAGACCAGTTGCTATCCAAGGCCACAGAACCTGGTCTGTCCTGCTATTTACCCATAGCTGGTGGGGCGAAGAAGAGGATTCCTAATTTTCCCAAGGGTGTTAGCACGTAAGTGAATGTAATGGATTCAACTGGAATTTGAACTCGGCTATCCGATTCCTCAATCTGAGCCGCTATCCACTACTCCATCGTGCCTCCTCAAAGACTAAAGTTATTAAATAACCACTTTTTAATAGTAATATTATTTTTATTATTTTTAAATACTAGTTGGAATTATTATTTACATTTGGACCATTGTCCTTTGTTTTTGCCATCACAACGTTACGACCATTGCGTCATTCGGCCTTCAAGAGGTGTGTATTGATCTGAGTAACTAACCTATGGGGAATTCTGAAGTGAGCCTTTTATTTAATCTATGAACTGTTCTTGTTCTACTGCTCATATCTAAAGATGTCTTGTCTAGATCTTATTTTAGTACTTCTCAGTTATTGCTTACCTGTTTCCACTGCGTCCATAACCACACTGCCCAACCCAAGGATTGAACTCACAATTACTATGTCACCAAATTCATAAACCAATGCTTTAATCCACTCTCGGTTGTAGTCCTGCAGCCAAAACTGAGCAGTACTAGAAATAAGAAGAGATATCCCTAGACCTGGGCAGTGTAATGAGAACAGTCTACCTCCTCTATATTAAATAAAGGGTTCAGTTCAGAATTCCCTGCAGGTTACCCAGATTGATATACACCCGAGGAAGGCTGGAGAGCACAATGGCCAAAACATGATAACAACAATAAAGATGCAGATAATAGTCTGCATGTAAATGATGACACCTCATCGCAGAAATTAGTCAGAATTAATAATATTGCTTGATAGTGATTAATGAAAAATAAACATAATGTTTTTTTTTTTTTATAATATTTTAAAAAAAAATTATTTTTATTTCATTTTTATTAGATTAATTGCTATGAAGCATTATTATTAATTTTGAATTGTATTTTCTTTGATTCTAATTTTTTAGTTGCAAAAGAGTCAATGTGAGTTCAAATCTCAAGGGAGCTTGTCCTTAATTTAGGGACTGTGCTGGTTACTTTTTTTTTTTTTTTTTTTTTTTTTAACAATTCATCCCAAGCAAGGTTCCCAACATCATTAAGGGGGACAAAAACATTTTTGCTTCTTAAAATTTTTCTATTTTGGAGTGTAAAGCAAGAATAAATAAAAATGGTGGATCAAAGATAAGAACATCTGAAAATCGTTGGCACTTTTTAATCTTTTGGAGACAGAGCCTCATTTGGAGTTTTAGTGCCAAGAAGACGGAGCCCCTTACACAAGCCCTCACTTGGAACACAAAAAAATCATTGTAAAACCACAGAATATAGAAAACTATCAAAGAAATTGCCATTGAAAGGCTCAGATGTGCAAGAAATGTGAGAAGTAATCTGATTTGTTGGTACAAAGACCAGACATCTAATCTTAAGGCTAGTATGGATTGGGCGATAGATAGGCCCTGTCGTCTCTTGAGGGTTAAGGTACCATTATTTAAATAATATTAATGTATTTTAGACTAATCATAAATGATATCTGATGTTCTTAAAGTATTTTTTTTATTGATCTGCAAATTATTTTTACTTGTAGATTTTTTGTTTTAACTTACATTTCAGCTGTTGTGAACATTCCTTGGACATTTCTGGCATTTGATTGACCTTAAATATTGTTTTTATTGCTTTCTTAATAGAAGTTTAATGATTTTGTGCATCTGTGAAAAATGTCCTGTGTGGAACTCTTATGGTAGCAATGCACCTTAGAGGAAAATTAGAGAACACACCAATCGAAATGCTGCAGTAAAGACAGCAAAGATAAGGATACTAGTTCAAATAATAGAATTTTTTTTGTCATAAATCTAGAAAATTCTCTGAGAATGTTAAGTAATTATTTTCTGTTGATTACATTTTGCTGCCTTTATATTTGAATATCTCTCTGACACTATAAAATATTTTAAGAGGTTTCTCCAAGAGTACAGGCAGTCTTTGTGTAGCCATTTCATCTATCACGTTGGTGCCTGTTGTTTTGACACAGGCACTTGAATTCATGGTTGTTTTAATAGAAAACAAAAGTATACCTGAAAATATGTCGTTGGTAATATTCACTGAATGAGATAGGTAAAGAATTTGTTTTTTAATATACAACAGTTTTTGAAATATTTTTCCGTGATGATTTAATTTGGGATGTTTAACTCTTTAAGGAAAAAAAAAATATCGAACACAAATAATACTTGAAAACTGTTTAATTTTCAGGAGAAAAAAAAATCATCATAAAATTAAAAAAAAAAAATCACTTGTAAATATAATTTGAAATAATCAAAAAAAAAAAAAAATGAATATTGTATTTTGGGTTACATTCATGCAAATACTTTACATCACCTTGTTTGTTTCCTTATATATATATATATATATATATATATATATATATAAGCAAAAAAAAACCCCCAAAAACTACTTTCTTACACACACACACACACTAGTAGGCCGACGAAATAAATTTGAGAGATAAAACAACAAAAAAATATTTATTGTCTATTAGTCAGTCTTTTGACCAAATAGAAACCTGATAAGAAAAGTTGGTAAAAATCTTTATCATAAATATTATTAATCTTATCAATATTTTTTTTTTTTTTAATTTTTTTTTTTATCTCAAATTTCATTGGCCTACTATATCTACATATTATAAGAAGCCTATGTGAACAATCTTTCTTTACTAATATATATATATATATATATATATATATATATATATATATATATACGTACACACATATATGTATTGAGTGACTGGAGAAAAATGACTAACATTTCATTATTCACCCCACCTCCAGTTTAATGAAATTTTATTTCACATTTGTTTTATTTAGGATTTTTCCCATTTTATTTTGTCTAAACCAAGCTATTTTGTTTCATCAATAGAAAAGACTGTTTTCTGAAAGTGGCTCATTAAATGCTAGAATATTTTTTACATATTTTTTCTTAGCCTTGTACAATTGCAGGAAAACATTTGCTCAAAAACAGATTGATTTGATTCACAGCAAAAGTCTTTTATTTTCTTTTTTCTATTTAGACTGCAGTTAATATCTGCATTTTTGTGGTCTAAAAAAAACATCATTTCAGCTGAACTATTAAAATCAACATAAAATGCATATTAATTTTGCCATGTTTATGATTGTTGTTTCATGTTGCTTTTGATAAATGAAGAAAAGGCTACAAGAGAGTTTCATCAAATTAGAAACATAAACAAAATGTCTAGATTAAACTTTTATTTATTTACAAATAATCATTTTAACTTGTAAAGTGGACACATTGGTCTTGTGAAATTTTAGTTTTGCTTTTTTATGAATTATTGTTTCTTTGTTAGTGAAATTTTTGCGCTTGGCAAATATCAGGGTTTTAGAAACTCAAGTGTACAAAATTTTGTATTTTTTTAAATTACAAAAAAAAATCTATTTGGATTATCGACGCCAAGCTCTTCGAAAAAATAAGCGTGATCTTTCTCTGCTTGAAGAGAAGAATGGCCTTCTGGCTCGTTCAAATGTTTTTGGTCTCGGGATAATAACATCAGGTTTTTGGTAAAACAATGCAAAAATATTAAACCAATTTTTTCTCTTTGCCCAGATTTTGTGCGAAAGCATTTCTTCAGTTTTCGTTGCTTTCTTCCAGGCTTCCTCCAATTTCTTTTGCAATTCTGAACTTTTGCTTTCTTTCTGGAAAGAAAGTTGCATTTTCTTGTCAATTTCTTCGTATTTCAGCTTTTGTTGTTCAGCTTCCAGTTTCATTTGGACTACTTCGCATTTCAAGCAGACCAGACTAATATTTTCTGCAATCGATTGCATTGTGTAACTATTCTGCTTTTTCATGCTCCAAAATTTTGTGGGTAAAATTGGAGGAGTTGATTCACTCCAAGCCTTGTAGATATTGGCTAGTTCTGTACACTTGAGGTGTAGAGAATAAGCCAGCATCCGGCTGGTCAAGTGTGAGTTCCATTGACATTTAATTGTCTCGGGAACAATTTCCAGCTCAATGGAGTCATTTGAAATGTTGTCTTCATCTTTAATTTCTTGTCTACATTTGTCTTTCAATGTCTCCTCAAATAATTTACATGAAGCAATTTCCTTTGAGTTCATTTCACACCTGATAGCTTCTATGATTTGAGCTTGGAGTTTATTCTTCACTGAATCTTCTTTCAGATTTATCAAAGACTTTTGGTGTGATTGCTTGCTTTCTTCTTCTGCTTCTTCTTCTTCTTCTTCTTCTTCTTTTTGGATAGAATCATTTGCTTTATCAAATTCTTCAGATTTCTCATCCTTTCTTAGATATTCTGTTTTTTCATTGCTATTAGGCTCCCCAAGTTTTTCATCAATATCTTCGCTCGGTTCTCCCAGCATTATATCAACTTCCGGTTCCTTTTTCAATTTTTGATATTTCTCAGCTATTAAATTGGCATGAAAATGTTCTTGCAATTCTGCAGTTTGGTCTTCTTGAATATTTGAGGAAGTCTGAAACTTGTCTTCAGGTTTAGCTTCACAAACATCCAGTGGATATTGACATCCAATAGTGCTGCTGGCATCATCAGAATTTTTGTTTAATGCTGAGAAATTTTTATTATCCATATTAAAAATTTGTTCACTTTCAGGGGAAATAATATCAAATGCAAATGGTTCTCTTTGTGGATTTTCCTCCTCAGACAGGATTTGAGTTTTATCCAAATAATCATTGCATAAATTGATACTTTCATTTTCTGATTTTGTAGAGCAAATTTCAGATAAGAAACTTTTTTCATCATTATTAGATATTTCTGTAACTGCAAAGTTTGGCAATTCAAACATATCTTCACTTGCAATATTTCGACCTCTCTCAATTTGCATTTTTGTCTCTTCAGCATTTGGTTGTTGGTCAATATCACAAGAATCAACATAATTTTTGGCTTCTAATTCGGTGTTAACAAAATGATTTTCTTCACTAGGTGTTGGATTTTCCTCACCTTGTTTATGTTCCTCTTTGACGGTTTCATTTTCTTCCCTCGAGTCTTCTGATAACAGTTTAACTCCAGCGCTGTTATTCTCATTTGTGAATGCATAACTGACATTCTCGGAAGATTCTTCATCAGCGTAGGTATGTGCCAGTTGTTTCATTAAGCCAGAATTTCTTGGAATTTCTCCATTACAATTAAATCCTATTTTATGAGACATAGGCACAAATTCAGCAGCATCTGCAGACATTTTAGATTTTTTCACTCTTTCATATGAATCCGATTTAGTTTCCAACATTTCCTCTGTATTCACATTCGTATAATCTCCATTTGAGAAGGAAAACTCTGCTTTGATAGCAACGTCCAACTTTTGATTCAGAATTTTTATGAGCATTTTAATGTCTTCAATTGTTACTGATTTCTTGAATAAAGGTCCAGTTCTTTCTGGTTGTTTGTTGCAATTCATGGTTCACTTTTTCCTTTTCTCAATCTACTTTGTTCAAAATCTAAAAAAAATATTCATCTAACTTAATATTGTCATACATTAAGCAATGTAACTTTTAAAATGACTGTTGGCTTTTAAAATTTAAAAGAATAAAGTCAGTTATGATGATGTCATTTTGGAATAACACACAACGTCACATGACTTGTTCTCTTCAAGGAAGTGAGAATCACTTCATGCTCACTTTCAAATGGAGGCTCTTTCAATTTTAACCTCTTTTTTTTTTTTTTAACTATTTTTCTGTAATAGACTAAAAAGCTTAAGAAATTAATTCAAATCATAAAAATACTTGGGGTTTTTCTTTTTTACAAACACAATGATCATTATTTAATTTTTTTCCTTTTTGTTATACAAACATAATCTTGTCTTTGATAAGAAACGGTAAGTTTATTTGCAATTCATCCTTTTTTTTTTTGTTTTTTTTGGTGTGTGTGGGTGGGTGTGGTGATATTTTTTTTCCTTTATAAGAAATTAATTTCTTTTAATTAAAAACTAACTTAGCAGTTAGCTTTCTCTCTCTCTTTCTCTCTTTTTAACCTGAAAAAAAAAAATTATCGTCTTTAATGTTACGAACGAACTTTAATTTTATAAGAGTTCAATAATTTTCACTTTATAATTTTGTCAGATCTAACTTCAAGGGGAATAACTAGACTAAAATATTTTAAAATTACTTCCCATGGATCGGTTACTGTTATATTTTGAATCACAAACGACGTTCTCTTTATTTTTTATGTTTTCAGTGATCAATAAATTTGGAGGTTACAGAAAATATTTAAAAATCGATGTTGGAAACTGAGGAATTCAGGTAAAAATATTAAATTAAACTAAATTTGTTTAATCGTGTACTGAATTTTCCCACGAAATTTCTACTCACAACAATTCAGTTAATTTAGTTTTTTTAATTGTCATATCACATTGTTTTTTTTATTCTTTAATTAAACTAATAATTTTCTCTTAGAATTATTTACCGATTACTCACACGGAAGTTTTATATGTCTTTAATGTCGGAATATTGCTTTTTTTTTTTTTTTTATTAATTTCAAAGGGGATAATCGATATTCCGACATTACAAGGCCATCCAGTAAAAGATCGAACACATTGTAAAATTGTAAATACAGTGTAACCCGGATATAAAAGAAACCCGGATATAAGAGAGATTTTCTCTGGTCCCAAATTAGAGCCTGTGTTAATGTATATAAAATAGACCAAACCCGGATATAAGAGACTTCTTCTCCGGTCCCGACAACTCTCTTATATCCGGGTTACACTGTAGTTCGCTTTTCTTTTTAGCCATTATGTGACAACGTGTCACCCTTCTTGCATATAGACATTGACCACATAAGGTTATTCGTTTTTGATATTCATAAAAAAAAGGTTAAATGCAATCAATGAGACAATTGTTGCTAAAAGTGACAATAATTGTAAGTCGTTTTGCCGTAGAGAACGATAATCAATTCGATAATTTTGTTGAACAGTTCGCTAACATAGTGAGTTCGATCCTCACAGAATACCCTACTATATGTCAAACTAAACTCGGCTAAGCAAATCCAAATATGCTACAATATATCCCCGTGGAGTTGTGTTCAGTAAACAAATTTCGCACGCCAGTTATTACCATAGAGAGATATATGTTACCATATATGTGTTATTCTGCTTTCACCACTATAGAGAGTTCGATTCTCAATGGCTGTTTCATTCTTGGGGCAGGTAACACTTCTTCTGCGTGCCGTCTCCTTTCGGAACGTGAGCGTTCATAGCTCTCCACAACTTCTTAAATTTGTAGTTGTAATAATTTTTGTCTTCTAAATTATTTCTCTCACTCCTTGTTCTGTTGCACATGAGCTTGTCAAGGAGTTCACTCGCTGTTTCTCTTGTTTTCAGTTTATCTTGGGAGTGTCAATTCTCCAAGTCCTCTTTTCTAATATCCCAGAAATTTCAATTGTTTCTTTCTGACAATATATGTCCATTTTGTTTCCATTTTCTTTCAAACTTCCTTATTTCACATGATCCGCCCGCCATGGTATTCTCAGCTTCCTTCTCTCGAACTATATCTATGTTGTTTCAATTCTTCTCTTCATCTGTGAAGAAATTGTCCATCATTTACTGCCATATAGGACGACTGATATCACATAACAGTTCAGAGCTCTTTTCTTTGTTTCTAACGAACTTTTCATATTTCTTAACACTGCTTAGCTTCTGGAAGGCTTCTTTTGCTAATCCAATGCGTCCTTTCAGATATCTGTATTATATTTTCCGTCGTCCATCACAAAATCATTACTTTTCAGATTACATTACTTAAAAACATCGATGTCTGCTCGGCCTACTTTTGAGCAAGCGACAAAAATACGAATAAGGGTCTGTTAACTCGGGATCCATTCTTCTAGCAGCGCCTTCCTATTTTACCATTCTTAGTAAAATGAGGAATATGCTACCAGAAAAATGCATTCCGGTAACAGAGTCAAGCCAAGGCCATATCATGATGTCTGCGGTATATAGCGAAGGAAACGGATAATTTTGACACCTACTCTCACATCCCTGAATATACGAAATAATTTTTGACGAAATTAAGTTTAGCAAAGAATATATCTAAGTATAAGACAGTTGCGCATTGTACCCTTCATCGAGCGGTGGTTAGTAATCTCGTCCCCGTAGATTAAATATCCTGAGTTCGATCCTCACTAGATACATGGCTAAGTTTAGTTAATAAGCCGATGTAAAGGCTAATAATTTGATAACGGCATATCAACATCTCATGGGTCATTTAAGGCAGAAGTTTAATTTTCTTGCGAGCTTTGAAGTAATAAAAATATGATATATATTATTCTGCTTTCACAGTTGAATATATGGTAGATGATACTCAGCTTTTGTGCATATGTTTGTGTGGACATAATTACTAGAGGCAGTGATATGTATTTTATGTTGTAGTTTTGTTGAAGTTATATTTTGGATTAAAGTTTGATTCCTTTAAGAAATTGTAGGATATTTTATGGATTAATTTCATGAAAGAGTTTTTTCATGCTGGTTGTTGGGTAGTATTTTTAAACGGATTTGGCTGAAGTCGCTACAATTTGTTAGTATGTGCTAAGAAAGGCTAATAAAACAAGTTTTTACATCTACTCAATATATTGTAGATTATTTTTTTCCCGGCGTTGTTCGTTTCATGAAAATTTCGTTACAACTTCGGTAACAGATACTTCTTAAAATTAAAATTTGTATTTAGGAAGATTCTTGCTTGGATTGAGTTTGATCCTTACTAAATGCAACATTACTCTGGCCGTGTGTCAGGTATATTTACCTGGCCTCTCCCCACCAAGGCTGGGTGTGACACAAGGTCGATTTAACTTGGGGAGCGCCATACATATGCATATAGGCCAAGGAAAAAATTTGATTTTTTTCCCAGACCCCGCGACGTCTGTCACCGATATTACACCGATCCAACCTCTAGTGCGATGAGGAAGGTACTGCCGCAGGGTTGGAAACCCCGGGGCTGAGCAACTTCTCACATTTAAAATGAGGAGAATCATAGCTCTACTTACAGCACAGGGATGTTAACCACGCCTCAGAAAACTCTCATAGGCAATTATTAACACCTGTGCCAGACGAAACAAAGACATTTTTATTGGGTGAAACCAAGTCTTATTTCACTTATTTAAGTGCATAATTAGATTGGAGCACCTAAAAAAATGGACACTCACATAGATATACGTTCAAGATTTTGAAAAGGTTAATAATCAGACTTTATCAATTTTTTTTTGTTATTATTGTTAAAAAATTAAACGAAAAATTTGTTGGGTAATAAAATAAAAATCGTTTTTGATTGTTCAAATTTTGTGGCCGCCATTTTCTCTTAAGATTTAGTGATAATAATTTTTGTCGATTAAATATTTCAAATTCGTTGTTTTTTAAAGTTATTTTTCCTATTTGTGTAATTTATATAGCATAAGCATTTAAATAAGAAGCATCCAAGAAAAGAGAAATTAATATTTTCGTTAAAACGGAGATTTAACAAAAAAAAAAGAATTGATAAAAAATCACGGACAAATCTTACCATTAATGAAAAACGCATTTGAAATGAATTTAAATTTCAAGGGAGATAACTCTCTACAGAAGTTATCTCCCTTGATATTTATTCATTTAAAAATTGTTGATCCGAAAACAAATTATTTTATTTATTATTCATCGGGGAGGGAATCAAATGGTTCAGTGTTTATCAAAACTAACCGATATAAATCAAACTGATATTAAAATGTCTTCTGTTTTAGATGCTAAATTATGACTTAACAATATTTTAAAAGATAAGCTTTCCAGCCAACTTTAATCTCTAAAAATTTAGTCGGCACCCGCTCGCATCGGGATCACCATCCTCTCTCCTAATTCCCTTTCTCTCCTCTGGTGGTGATGGAGGTGTTTTTGAAGGCCCAGCCTACTCCTGTAGAGTTGTGAGCAGAAGTCACAGAGGAGTGTGGGCGGTGGACGCGGCTGGGTGAGTCGAGCCTCTTGACAGAACGCTGCAGTCTTCATGTTGACGGTTGGACTCCAAAGACTGGGTCCACCCTCGGATGGTCCTATGCCAGGAAGGCCGATTTGCAGCAACTGTTGAACAGGTCTCAGGGTCGATGTTGGTCAGTGTCAGGGATGTTTTCAACATCCTTGAAGCATCGTTTTGGTCTTCCGCGTCGCCTCTTACCGTTGGCGAGTTCTCTAAACAGGACGATATGTGGGAGTCATGTGGGACGCATTGTAGACACGTGACCCATCCAGAGAAGGCGATGTTGAAGAATGGTAGCCTCGGTTCTGAGGAGGGATGTTGGGAGACCTCGTTGTTGGTGATGCAAGTCTCCCAAGTGATGCAATGTCAATCACTATCTACTGTCCTCCTAATTACTCTTTTTGCTCATTAGTAATTTTTGTTCCTAATTCTTCCACACCACTTATATCTTAGTGGCTTTAATGCCTTGCTTGGGGTGAAATCGGTAAAAAAAAAAAAAAAAAAAAAAAGCAAACTTGCTGATCGTTATTACTGCTCACAGTGATTTCGGCACATCGCTGGTTGCCTCAGTTTTTAACCCACGAGTTCAAGATATTAGTAAATACCTTATATGCAAAAACAGCACCTGATACAGAGTAATGGCTAGCAACATAATCTCGTATCTTTCACTTGATTCTCATACAAGCTCTCTTCTTGTGACCCTGTGGCAGACTCTTTCCCCCCCCCCCAAAATCCCAATTTAACTCATTATTAATTCGGTCATCTTCCCCACCCCGACACCATAACCTAGCTTCCCTCTGCCTTACTAGATTGAGAAATGAGCTGAGCCCTAGCATTTCGGACGATGTCACTGCCCAGCCATGCTTAGACAACCGTTAGGTAGAAAATTCAGTACTTTCATTGAGTTACATTCTTTGTTTAAAGATATTGAAGAAAAGTGTTAATACTGGGTAACCTTGTTCTGTATTTTTTGTTTGATGAAAATCTTCACAGACAAACGTTACACACTATTTATATTTACACAGACACAAATATATATTGAATCAATTGCTCTGTAGACTGCTAAGAAAGAAAGTTCACTGTGTTATGCTAAACAATTTTCTTACCAGAATCTATTTTACATATTTATAAATCTTCCATTCATCCATGCTTTGAATATTGCTGTCGCATATGGTCTGGTGCCCTTGCTATATATTTAGAGATCCTTGATAAAATCTAAAGTAGAATCTAATGTTATTGGCGCTGACCTGGCATCTCAGCTTCAGTCATTTTCCTACTGCCATAATGTAGCTTCTCTGTGCCTTTTCTATCAATACTTTTATGGTAATTGTTTGGATAAGCTTTCCTCTTTGGTACCTAGACTTTATCAATTTAAGTGCTGTACTAGATTGGCAGCTAGGTCTCATCATGTTACATTTGAAATGGCTGCTAGATATAACCGTAAGTTCTATGCTGATAGTTTCTTCTTTCCTATGGCTTTTTGCTTTCCAGTCAACTTTGCATGTAAATTTTTTGAAAATCAATATCAGTCGTTATTTTGTCTTCTTAATTCTTGTTCTTTTATTGTCCTCTCCTTAATGCCTTTTTGCTAGTCATATTCTCTCATTCAGTCACCCCGTTGTGTCTTAGTAACTTTATTACCTTGTTTGGGATGAAATGAATAAAAAAAAAAACAATCGTCTGAACCAGTGGACATTAATTAGTTAGAGGTAGAAATCTATAATAAATATTTTTCTTTTCCTGTTTTGATTAGGAATTTGTAATACATTTATTTTTCTTAAACTTATAACTGATAATGATTTTTTTTTTTGCCCCTGTAGAAACCTGTGTTTAAACAAATGATGGAAAACAAGACAAAAATTCAAAGGCATATTGGAATAGTGAAAGGTGCTTTTTTAAGGGGGAAAAAAAAAATAGAAATTTCTGGAACAGTATGAAGAAAGAAGGCTTGGAGAATTTGACACATTGAAGGCAAGAAAAGCAAAGGTAAACAGTGATTAACTTACCTAGCAGCCTGAGTAGGGAATGGTAGGGGCAGTGAGGTGTCAAACATTACTAAAGGATAGGAAGTTGTGGAGAGCCATGGTAAATAAAAATGATATTTAATACAGTTGCTTTTTTCTTTTTTAAAGAAACCTTTCAGTAAAACTGGATTTTTTATTTTAATTTTTACAATTAATATCAGATTTTACACAAAAAATATTTATGAAGACATTTTTTTTCATATTATTGCAAGTGACTTTGGTTTGCACATAACTATTGGCCTTGTGCCACACTAAGTTGAGTTGATATAATACATGTGAAATATTTTCAGCCCATTAAATCAAAATCCAAAATTGTTTTCAGATGAGTGACACAAATATAATCAGATATGTCTCCATGTTTTTCAAGCAAAACTTTTCTTTGCAGTGGAAATATGCCCTCTGAGTGTCAAATTCTCCAAGCCTTCTTTCTTCAGTGTTCCAGAAATTTCAACTCTGTTTTTGCATTTTTTCTTAAAACTTCTTTGTTAATCACTAGTATTCTCAGCATCCTTCTGTAGAAGCACAACTCTACTGGCTTTAAGTCACGTCTTCATCAGTGAAGAAGAAATTCTCCCATTGACAGAAAACTGGTTTTCTGGCAATGTGAGAATTTGAAACTCAAAGTAGTTAACGTTAAATTTCAAAAGATGTGAATTGCGAGATTTATTTGATTAGCAAAATAAAGTGGGTGCTGATAAGTTTTCTATCTTACGAACAAGGGATTACCTGTATTTGTGTTGAACTGTGAACTTTTCAGCAGTCCCTCATAAAAAGAATAATGAAATCTGCAATCTTTACTCTGTGTCTGAAAAAAAATACAGAATGTCAAAAAGGACTGTTTTTCCCTTGACACCACTATTATTTTAACTACTTTCACTCTTCAGCAATGTTTATTGTTTTAAAAAGAGATAATTAGAATTGTAATAAAACCTCAGCATATAAAAGTAAACTTTTACATTTTCTTTATTATTTTTGTTGTTAATTCTCAAGAACAAACAATGATTTATTTATTTATTATATTTTTATTGGAAATTGTTGGCAAAACATCAGCTAATTGCCAATTTATTCAAACTTTAATTTCCTTAAAGTTGATTGACAGACTTTTCGTAAATTTTTTTAAATAGTGTTTAATAATTTGGTTGTTGGGAATAAAAAAAAAAATGTATAATTCACTTTCAGCCTGTATTTAAGTTTTATTATGATTATAATCATTGCTTCTTAAAATAAACATTGCTTTCTTTTCTCCAGGTACAAAGGTTAAATAAAGATTGCCATAAAATCTTTAAAATCTACAATTTTCTTGGTAAGAATGTATTGACATTTTAACAAAAACTAATTTTTCAAACAATCAAAAGAAAATCCCTTCAAAAGGTGAATCTCAATTTAATCAGTAAGAAACACTGTTTTTTTATGAATTTTATTTTTCCAGTGAATGTTTAAAATTGGAGATTGACTCTGCAAAATATTTACTCAAGTGCGTGAGTTTGCTTGTTTAAAGAATTTCAGCTGATTTATTTCTTCCTTTCAAACTTCCATTTGTATTGGGCAGATGAAGTTGGAGTTTCATTCTTGATCTTCTTACATTTTGTACTTTTGTCCTAGGAAAAAAAAAAAAAAAATTTGAAATTTGTTGAGAATTACAGGATACTGAAAGATTTCAATAAAAATCTGAACAGAGACAAAAGGCACAAGATGTAAAGTGTGAATTGGAGGCACAAGATGTAAAGTGTGAATTGGAGGCACAAGATGTAAGTGTGAATTGGAGGCACAAGATGTAAAGATGTAAAGTGTGAATTGAGGCACAAGATGTAAAGTGTGAATTGGAGGCACAAGATGTAAAGTGTGAATTGGAGGCACAAGATGTAAAGTGTGAATTGGAGGCACAAGATGTAAAGTGTGAATTGGAGGCACAAGATGTAAAGTGTGAATTGGAGGCACAAGATGTAAAGTGTGAATTGGAGGCACAAGATGTAAAGTGTGAATTGGAGGCACAAGATGTAAAGTGTGAATTGGAGGCACAAGATGTAAAGTGTGAATTGGAGGCACAAGATGTAAAGTGTGAATTGGAGGCACAAATATCTGAAGGTGCTTTAGGATAGCAAAAGTTGCCTTCAAAAAACTAAGTAAAGTTTTTATTTTATATATAATGTGTGTGTGAAAATATACTAAATAACAAGATATTAGCAATGGTATATGTGTGTGATAGCATGCATGCACAGATAAGCAAATAAATATTTATTTATGGTGCAAACAAAACAGAGCTAGTATATATTAATAAATACACATATACCTATATCTGTAGTGCAAGTTAAAGTTTCATGGTTTCCAAAGTAGTCAGTCACATATGGCAAATAAGCCACTTATTACAGTTGTTTTTTTTTTTTTTTTTAAATACTGGGTCTCACAGGAGAAACACTAAATTATACTCAGATTCAAAGTTAATATAAACCCAATATATTATTAGGGTGTAGATAAACAAAAAGGCAAGATTTAAGTAAAGAAATTATAAAGCATAAGAAGGTTGGGGGTAGGGTGGGGTAGTAGGCACATTGTATTGTATATTGTCTATAAATAATCTCTGTTTCAAAGGAGTAACACTGCACAGTATATAGAGCTAATGCTTAATAATGTTAGGTTATAAATTAAAAAAAAGTGTACACAGACATGAAAGGTGAGAGAGAGAGAGAAAAAATGTATATTTTATGAAAAGAGGAATTCTGTGTAACCTGTTACATATTAATAGGCGCTTAAGGCAGGGGTAATAAGCATTTGAATTTATCCCGAATCAAAATACTTTAGGGGAGACCTTTTTTTATGGGTACAAGCTATCATGTTTATTTGAAAGAATAATTTTATGATGGTTATACCGAGTCTTCCGATAGTTTGCAGTTGAACCAAAATAAAATTTAGTCCATATATATATACACACACACAAGATTAAAACTAAAACATGTTAAAAATTGTTACACAATAGCTTTTATGTTTCAGCACTAAATTTGTGCCTCCTCAGGCAATGCTAAATAATTATTTTTAAATTTCAAAAGCAGAATAACCCCCTACAAAAAAAATAAAATAAATAAAAACTGCATCTCTTGTTTACCTAAGCACTATGAATTCTTTTAAAAGTAGGTGGTACCTGTATCACTTATATATATATATATATATATATATATATATATAAATAAAAGTGTTTGTGTGTGTGGGGGGAGGGGGGCAAATATTCGTACATGTACAAATGTTTAATTTATTGTATTTTCAACTAATGAATATACATACTTTTCATATTATTGACTGTACACAGATACATAATAACTAAATATCCATAGAAAACAATTTTGATTTAATAGAAATAAATCCCATTTATCCATTTTAATTTGATCAGGAAGATCATTGATGAAGATCAGACACAGTGTCGGACTGAGGATAGAACCTTGGGGAACACCAGAGTTCATATGAAAGGAATTGGAAGAGATCCTGTTCAGGACAACCTTCATTTCCTGATTTGATAGTAATGATTGGATTAAATCATATAATCATCCTGTAATATCACAGCCCTGAAGCTTATGGAAAAGGACAGTATGCCAAATCCTGTCAAATCTAGAGCCACAGCATGAGCTTTGCCGTTATTATCAAGAGCTTGATATACAAATTCAGTTATGGCTGTAAACACATGAGTGGTAGACTGGTCAAAGTGAAACCTATATTGTTTGTCAGAGAAAAAGATTATGGG